CTGTGTAGATCATAACAAATTATGGATCACATTGCGAAGAATGGGAATTCCAGAACACTTAATTGTGTTCATGAGGAACCTGTACATGGATCAAGAGGCAGTCGTTCAAACAGAGCAAGGGGACACTGTGGTTTAAAGTCAGAAAAGCTGTGCATCATGGCTGTATCCTTTCACCATACTTACTCAATCTGTATGCTGAGCAAATAATCCGAGAAGCTGGACTGTATGAAGAAGAATGGGCCATCAGGATTGGAGGAAGACTTATTAACAACCTGCATTATACAGATGACACAACCTTGCTCGCTGAAAGTGAAGAGGACTTGAAGCACTTATTGATGATCAAAGACTACAGCCTTCAGTATGGATTACACCTCAACATAAAGAAAACAAAAATTCTCACAACTGAACCAATAAGCAGTATCATGATAAACAGAGAAAAGATTCAAGTTGCAAGGGTTTTATTTTACTTGGATCCACAATCAACACCCATGGAAGCAGCAGTCCAGAAATCAAAAGATGCACTGCATTCAGCAAATCTGCTGCAAAAGACCTCTTTAAAGTGCTGAAAAGCAAAGATGTCATATGGAAGACTAAGGTACGCCTGACTCAAGCCATGGTGTTTTCCATTGCCTCATATACATGTGAAACCTGGACGAGGAAGAAGGAAGATGAAGAATTGATGCCTTTGAATTCTGGTGTTGGCACAGAATGTTGACTATACCACGGACTGCCAAAAAAATGAACTCATCTGTCCTGGAAGAAGTACATAGGGTCGCTGTGAGTCGGAACCGTGTCGACGGCACCTAACAACAACAACAGTGCATTCGAAAGATGGACAATGAATTAGGAAGAGCAAAGGAGAAATGACACTTTGGAATTATGGTGTTGGCTAAGAATACTGAATATACCATGGACTGCCAGAAGAATGAACAAATCTGTCTTGGAAGAAGTACAGCTAGAATGCTCCTTGGAAGTGCTGATGGCAAGACTTCATCTCACATACTCTGGACCTGTTATAAGGAAGGACCAGTCTCTGGAGAAGGACATCATGCTTGGTAAAGTAGAGGGTCAGCGGAAAAAAGGAAGACCCTTAACGACATGGACTGACACAGTGGCTGCAACAATGGGCTCACGCATAGCAACAACTGTGGAGGATGGCTCAGGACCAGGCAGTGTTTCGTTCTGTTGTACATAGGTGCCACTCAGTCAGTTCCGACTCATAGCGACCCTAACAACAATGACAACAACAACAACACAAATAAATATGTTTTCCTTTTGAGCTCTAGGTGGCTGCAAAGGTAAGGAGTGTCCTCAATGGCAATGGGCAGAGTTTATTCTGGAGTCAGGAGGCCCAGTGCCTTATGCACAAACGGACTTGTTCCTTGTATTTCATTCCCTCCATGAGTATGTTTGCACCAGGATTTTCTAAGAGCTGGGAAGGAGGGAGAGAAGGTCCTTGCTGAGAGTATCTCAGAGTCTAATGGGGAGGGGGTAACATTGTTAACCATCCTCCAGGTTATGTTTTTGGTTTACTCTTTTTTAATCTCCAGGCTACATCATAGGACTTTCTAAACAAATCAACACGATTTGGTGAAGTTAGGTAAGGAGGGTTCCTCGACTCTGCCTTCTTTCCAAAGCATTGGGAGGGGCTGCAAAGCTCATACTCCTGGACTGGGGAGCAGTGCGGCTGCTGGTCTGTGCAGGCGATCCCAAGGGAAGGTGGGTGAGGAGCCATCAAACACAGCTACCCTACAAAGAAATCTGTTGTGGCCCACGTGCAAGGGCAAGAAAGAGTGTACCAAAAACACTTCCTGCATCGGAAGAAGTGTCATTACTAAGCCTCATTTATTTGGCTAATCTGAAAAAAGGCTAATTGTGAACTTCAGAACCACAACTATATTGCTGCATTTAAAGTAGTTCATAGGGTGGTGAGCCAAGTTTAACCAAGTTGTTATTGTTAGGTCCTGTCAAGTCGATTCCCACTCATAGCAACCCTATGTACAATAGAAGGAAACACCGCTCGGTCCTACGCCATCCTTATGATCGTTTTTATGCTTGAACCCATTGTTGCGGCAATGTCAATCCATCTCGTTGAGGACCTTCCTCTTTATCACTGACCCTCTACTTTACCAAGCATGATTTCCTCCTCCAGAGACTGATTCCTCCTGATAACGTGCCCAATGTATGTGAGACGAAGTCTCGCTATCCTTGCTTCTAAGGAGCATTCTGGCTATACTTCTTCCAAGACGGATTTGTTCATTTTTCTGGCAGTCCATAATATATTCCATATTCTTAGCCAACGCCATAATTCAAAGGCATCAATTCTTCTTTTGTCTTCCTTATTCATTGGCCAGCTTTCACATGCATATGAGGCAATTGAAAACACCATGGCTTGGGTCTAGTGTACCTTAGTCCTCAAAGTGACATCTTTGCTTTTGAACACTTCAAAGAGGTCTTTTGCAGCAGATTTGCCCAATGCAATGCGTCGTTTGATTTCTTGACTGCTGCTTCCCTGGGTGTTGATTGTGGATTCAAGTAAAATGAGACACTTGACAACTTGAATCTTTTCTCTGTTTATCATGATGTTGCTTATGGGTCCAGTTGTGAGGAGTTTTGTTTTCTTTATATTTAGGTGTAAGCCATACTGAAGGCTGTAGTCTTTGATCTTCATCAGCAAGTGCTTCAAGTCCTCTTCACTCTGAGCAAGCTAGGTTGTGTCATCTGCATATCACAGGTTGTTAATGAGTCTCCCTCCAATCCTGATGCCCCATTCTTCCTTCATATAGTCAGGCTTCTCAGATTATTTGCTCAGTATACAAACTGAGTAAGTATGGTGAAAGGATACAACCCTGACGCACACCTTTCCTGACTTTACTTTCCTGACTTTAAACCACGCAGTATCCCCTTGTTCTGATCGAATGACTGCATCTTGGTCTATGTACAGGTTCCGCATGAGCACGATTAAGTGTTCTGGAATTCCCATTCTTCTCAATGTTATCCATAATTGGTTATGGTCGTCAAATGCCTTTGCGTAGTCAATAAAACACAGGTAAACATCTTTCAGGTATTCTCTGCTTTCAGCCAGGATTCACTGACATCATAACCAAGAGGGAATGTCAGGTCTCAGCCTCTGGGGCTTACAGATGAATACTTGTTCTAATTAATACAATAATACAGTAAATTATGAGAATGGGTATTTCTGGTGCTTAAAAGAAAAAAAATCAGACAAACATTTTCCCAAATTCTTGTTTAACCTGCCTCTTTGCTTAAGAATTCATTTTTTCTCAGTGGTAAGATGGGCAGCCTCAGTTTTCTCAAAGTGCAGTCCAGGAACCAGATGAGGAGTTGGCTGAACATGCAGATTCCTGGGCCCCACCCTGGACTGGTTCAGAGTGCCCCTTGGTCGGCCTGGCAATCTGCATTCTTAAACCTGCACCCCAGCATGCATCTTGGTGGTTGAGCCAGTGCCCCATGGTGGGAATTGTCAGATTGATGGAACATGTCAGATATTCCCTAAATTTCTACCTTTCTTAGTACCAAGTTTAGAAAAACAGTGAAAACAGGACCCAGTTCAGCTCCCCATTGAGCCCAAGGTTTCCAAACAACATCAAGAGAAGAGATAATATTTCTATACAGATAACTAAAATCGTAGTGACTGTTTTCTCTTGAAGGTGAAAAAACAATCCTGAGAAAACGGGAACAGTGACCTCATGAGGAATCCAGAAGAATCTATAATCATATCCCTCATTTAGCAGAAATACCAATGAAAGGCAAGAAGGGAATTCAACATCCAAGGAAGGCCTATTATACTAAAATGCAGTGAGAAAGTAAACTAGAGAAGTTATACACTACGTAAGGACAGCCTCATTTACCAAGCAGGACCTTGGATAAATACCTGCCCAAGAAGCAGCACTGAGGTCTTGGGTTCTTAATCCCTCACCCCTAGGATGCCACAGGCTCAGCCTTGATATTCTGATCCTTAAGAGCTGGCCACAACCCCAGCTCGGCTTGGTGTCTTAGTTATCCAGTGCTGCTGTAACGGAAATACCACAAGGGCGGGGGGGGCTTTAACAAACAGATTTATTTTCTCAAAGTTTAGGAGGCTAGAAGTCCGAAATCAGAGCATAGGCTTCTAGGGGAAGGCTTTCTCTCTCAGTCAGTTCTGGGAGAAGGCCCTTGTCTCTTCAGCTTCTGTTTCCCAGTTCGCTGGAGATTTCCATGTGGCTTGGCATCTATCTCCCCTACCCCCAATCTCTGCTTGCTTAATCTGCTCCTTTTATATTTTGTAAGAGATTTGACTGAAGATACACTAACCCTGCCTCATTAACATAACAAAGAACCCAAATGGGATTAAAACCACAGGTACAGGGGTTAGAATTTATAACACATATTCTGGGGGTACACAATTCAATCCCTAACACTTGGTCCCAGGCAAACACAGAATGACCCTTCTCCAACCATGAAGGCGTTTTGTATTTAGCATGGAAGAAAATCACAGCAAGGCAGAGAAGTCAGTCTAACCCTCCCACCATCCCAATTTTATAGAAGAAGAAGGTGGAGCTCTGAAAGCTTGAGTAACCTGCCTACAATCACCCAGGAAAGGTGAGCCAGGGGCTAACAGGCTTTCCTTACTGCCAAACCCCAGCTACCAGACAGGGGGAAGGCAGAGATGAGATCCAGTGTAGCTCTCAGCCCTGGCTGAGGACAAACATGTGAATGGCTTATGATGTTTCAACATGTAATCAAATGACAGTGTCAAGTTCATAACTAAAAACCCAATTTTGCAGGCAGATGTCTGCACTTTGAAGTGCACAGTAGCTCATCTGCTCACCTTCCTCCTGAGTGCTCAGTGCTAGGTTATAAGTTTGCCAGGCCAGGGGGATATCACAAGGAGACCAGCTCCCCAAGCAGCCCAATTGTCTTTCTAATGATTTTTTCATTCTTTTTAAAACCAGCAGTATAAACCACAGAATGATGCTAACCCAAGTCAAGCCTCTTACCTGATTTGATTCCCTTAATGGGGTAAGTAGCATGAGCGAGGAAGTTGGGATCACTGAACATATCTTCCTCGTAAACCACAAAGCGCAGAAACGCAAGGTTTGGGTCATAAATTTCAAACGTCACCTTCTCCTGTGTTGAAGCCCACACAGGACTTAAGCCATTATCATCTGGAGAGAGATTAGAGCTCATTAGAGGCCACATCTGTCCTGCCCTTCCCGGTAAAACTCTCTCTGCATCCTTTGTCTTTGCATCCTTTTAAACCAGTTGCTGTCAAGTCAACTCTAACTCAGGGTGACCCCCTGTGTGTCAGAGTAGAACTGTGCTCCTCAGGGTTTTCAATGGCTGATTTTTTTGAAATACATCACCAGGCCTTTCTTCCAAGGCACCTCTGGGTGGAGTCAAACTTCCAACCTTTCAGTTAGCAGTTGAGCACGTCAACTATTTGCACCACCCACGGACTCCTTGAACCATTTAAGCAACCCTGTAAATAAACATGTATCTACACAAGATCCAAGATAATCTCAATAAAATTATTGCTGTTGTTTTCCCCAGTAAGCAATCCTGGTAAAGCTGCTGCAGCAGGCCCGGCCTTCAGAGAGAAGGGGGAGGAGATCAGATCATGTGCCCCTTTACACCTCTTCCATCCCAACTCCCCAGTTTAACTGGTTGACATCTGAATTGTTCTTGGGGCTACTTTTACTGGAGGCAGTGATACTGGGCCTTAAAAGGCCCCAAATGCATCATCTCTTCCCGGCTTCACCTGGAGGAGCAAGCTTTTCTCTTGTCCTTTCTGCCCTCTATGGAGTAAGCCCTCCCAGCCAGGCTAACCCTTGGGGTCAGGTCAGCTACATCTCTTTCTCCCCATGTCTCTGCTTCTTAGCCCTCAACTCAGAGGATGAATGAGATCAGGGCTGTCGCACAGAGAGGACATCCTGGTAAATGGAGCAAAGTCTTGCTAGGACTCCCGGCCTCAGCTGCGGGCAGAGAAGCACCGCATCGTGCAGAAGCCCAACTACTTAATAAAGCACCCTTTGTTTCCTCCCAGAGCTGAACCGTAGCAGCGAAGAGGGTGTGTGAAAAAACTGGACAACAAGCCTGTGCCACAGACTCCTCACGGAAGAGCGCCCCCACAGCTGACGCCACTTGCTTAACCTTTAACAGAAGAAAGAACCACAGGCAACTTACTCACAACTGTCGTCTTAAACTTGTTGTTGTCATACTCAGCTCCACATATTTCCACCTCGACAAAGGGACAGGCAATGCTTCGTCCCAGCTTGGGGAGATGGCGGGCGCCAAGAACCTAGGACACCAAAGGTAAGTACTGGGGCACCCCTGGGTAGAGCTAAACGAGTTCTGCAGAGGGGGGCTGGCACAGGGGTTACTGTGGGTTCTAATGGCATACTGGAAGTTCAAAGACAGCCTGAAAAGTCACAGCAGCCTTCTGAGGTGGGCACCATCACCAATTCCCTTTTGTGGATGAGTGAGGGAAGGGAGATGAACAGAGTTCCATGGCTATTAAGGATGGAGCCGGGATCTCAGCCCTGGCACAGTCTGCTCAAGAGGTGATTTCTCTCACCTGAGCACATAAATGCACACACCTAAATACGGGTGGGACCCACATATATGACGTAGAGTCACTCAGCTTCCCGCATCCCAGGAAAGGATCAAGAGGAGTGTGGTAATTCCTTTGGCAACTGGTCTTTATGTAAAGATCTTTGGTTATATGTGCTTCATTTTCTCTTCCTTAATCTTATAAGAAATGCAATTCATTTCTCTACCTGCCTTAGTTTTCAAAAGAGGAAAAATGAAAACTCTTACAAAGAGACAACACATTCTCTGAAAGATGGATGTATTTTAAAAAAACAAAAAACTTTGACCCTAAAACTGGCGACTATTCTCTGACAGATGGATGAATTTTAAAAAAACAAAAAACTTTGACCCTAAAACTGGCCACTGGAGGGATAAATTCTCCCCTCATGCTTATTCTCTGCCTTTTTATGGCCAGAGGCTGACATCACAAGGTCCCAGAGAGACCCTGCTGAGCCTGGCAAGCTGTCCTGACCCAGTGGGAGACAGTCAGACCTCACCCCCAAAACAACAAGGGAAAGGGACCAAGGTGGGTTTGGGAGGGGCCCCCTCCCTTCTCTTTTCCTCCCAGATGCCTCTGGAGTACTGTGTAATACAGATCCTGACGCACTTCCTGGGAGATGCTGACTGCTGAAATAAGAGGACAGCACTACCAGCTTCGGGTCCCCTGGGTGGGCCCTCCCGCACAGAGGGGAGCCGGGTGTCACCTTGACAGTCAGAGTCATCAGGATCTTCCTCTGGGGCTCGGGCGGCAGTGGGTCATAATTCTCAATCCTCATGCTCTCAGGCTGTAGGACATAGCCTGTCCGCCCATTGAGGGAGAACAAGGCATGATTCAGCTGCATGTACTTATCTAGGAAGGAAAACAAGCCACTGTCAGGCAAGAAAGCCCAGGCCTCCTGGGCCAGGAGTGGCTAGGTGGGTAGTGATTTATACCTTTTTCCCTCAAAAATAAGTTGGGCAGTTGTTGAAAGAGATAACTGGGTAGAAGAAAATATGGCATTAAAACAATCTCAGACTGGGGAACACCTTTCCAAATATGACACAAAATCTAGAACCATAAAAGCAAGAGTTATTAAAACCTACTAAAAGCTAAACATTTCTACGTGAAAAAAAAAATCCCATACAAGTTAAGACAAATGGTGTGGGAAAAGATGATCATTTTAACTCAAATGACAGGCAAATACAGCTGCTTCTCATTACTTGCAATCATTGTGTTCTGTAAAGTCGCTGTGAACACCGACCCACCAAGCTGTTCGCCACTCTGCACGTGACTGCGGAAGTGCCACAAGTACTGATTTTGGGCTTATAAACAGATTTTAGCAAGCAGGAAAATTCACAAGTTTGGAATCCACGAATAATGAGATTTGAGTATATACATGAGAGTTTTTTTAAACCTATTAAGAGCTCTGATAAATACCTACATCCCATTAGAAAAGTTGGGTAAAAAGCATGAGCAGAGAGTTCACAGAAAAGAAAATGCAGTTGCTTTCTAAACACATGAAAAATGGCTCAATATGACTCATAATAAGAGAAATTTCAATAGAAATGCCAATTAACTACAGTGAACTATCAGTTTGCACTTAAGTTGTTAAAAATACATCTTTGACTGGAAGAAAAAAGTCTTAAGATTGTCATAAAAACCCTTATTATTGGAAGAAAATAATGAGATTTAAAAAAAAAAATTTCAGACTGGGGAACACCTTTCCAAGTATGACACAACACCCAGAACCATAAAAGTAAAAGGTTACTGAAACCTACTAAAAGCTAAACATTTCTACATGAAAAAAAAAAAAATTCCCGTAAAAGCTAAGACACACCGTGGAAAGGAAAACAATTTTAACTCAAATGACAGGCAAAAATGAAGTTATGCTGAAAATGACCTATTCAAACATTTTACCAATTTGCGTTTCTACCCGGAATGTGTTGGCAAGGTGTCTTAGCTCAGGCACAACTGGCCACAGGTGTTCAATGATCGTCTTCAGGGCAAAGTTTACCCAAATGTCAATGCACATGCTGTCGGACCCCCCAGATGTACTCCTACATGTGAACCAACAGCAGACTTGTTAAACAAATTATGGCTCCATTTCATGGAGTGTTATACAGCCATAAAAAGAGCCTGCTGCTGAGTAGATTCCCAAGAGATTCTTAAATAACAACAAAAATGCAAAGCATTGTGATTTATGCTCCCATTTGTGTAAAAAAAAAAAAAAGTTTTGCATGTCTGTCTTTCCCAGCATATGGATCTCTCTGGAAAAAAGCCTGGGCATGGAGCTCTCAAAGAGGGGTGGGCTGAGAGGAGAGAGTCCCAAAGACAGCCACTGAAACCTGGATCCAGCTGTTCCTGAAGCTAAGAATTGACTCCTGGACTTTCTAATTACATGAGCAAAGGCATTTCCTTTTCCTCTTCAGCCAAACTGACTCAGCTTCTGTCACTTGCCACCACAGGGTCTGCCTAATACTAATGCCCACTGCCAGGGATGTCCATTGGCCCTCTTCATCACCGCCTTCAATCAATGGACCCGATGCTACCATTCTGGTTCAACGTTGCAGTTCTTAAAGCATTCTTTCTGGGACACCTACATCACACCACTGGCTCCAGCTGACTCTGTCTGGGGTGACCTGTGGTTATCTGGGACTAGTAACTGCAATCAGTCCTCTGTTACCTGCCGTCTGGAAGTTGAGTGCCACCATCTGGGAACCACACAGCCAGAGGCGGAAGGGGTCATAGTTTGAAGAGTCAACCCTTTGTCCCTTGGGGTAGACGCGGGTCAGACCCTTCTGGTTGTACTTCAGGAGATCAACGGGCTTCTGTCTGACGATGCTGTCAGCCTTGGTCTCCACGAAGGAGCGGATTTCTCGGAAGTCAGGGTTTTCTGCACAGAGAAGGAAGTCACTGTTTAGTTTGTGTCCCATCCATACATTTTCTTAAGGCTTGTGCAATGGTTAGATGCAGGAATCTCTCTCCTGGACAAGATGTTCAAGTGCTTAAGGTGATATTGCCCTGTTACTACAATGTATTCTTACCCTCCGAGGGTCCCAGGTGATAGAAGGGGGGCCCGGTTTGCCCACAGCCATTTAGATTAGCATTATTATAAATTTTTTTGCTTAAAACTACCAACAGCCTTGAACAAGAAAACACAAAAGTGGGGCAGCTAAGAAAGAGGGAGGGGTGGTTTTGGACAGAGTAGGCATGAGCAGATCTTAGGAATGAAGATGCAGAGAACAAAGCTGGCATCTTCATCAAGGATGTTACAGACACAGATGCATAAACCACGCGTCTTGGTGGAGTCAGAATCAGCTGCTGCCCCCAGGGAGGGATGTGACAGGAAAGGGGTGCCTGTCAGTAAGAGAATGAATGGAAGGAAGAGTCTTCACTTGAAGCTTTGCTCCCTCCCATCCAACTGTGGCAGGACAGCCACGTAACAAACACACAGAGCTTGGCAGAGTTTGGTTCTGAGCTCTGACTTCTCTGGCATGTAGCAGTACCCAGGGACCAACCTCCCAGTTAACATGGGGCTTGGTATTTTATTTCTCTGGCTGTCCGTCCTGGGATCACAGATCCCTAAGATCAGAGATAAGGAGTTGTTCAAAAGCCCCCAAAGAAAAGAGAAATAAAATATGAACAACATCATCATTAGGTCATTAGAGAACTTGCTACTTTGGAGAATGTGGTAGAAGATCCATTTTTCAATCCCTCTGTGGTCGGCTGAATAATGGCTTGCAAAGATATCCAGATCCTAATAACCTGGGAAATGTTACCTTATATGTATAGCAAAAGGGACTGTGCAAGTATGATTAAGTTAAGGATCTTGAGATGGGGAGGTGATCCTGGATTATCTGGGCGGGCCCTAAATGTAATCACAGGGTCCTTATGAGAGAAGGCAGAGCACGATCTGACACACAGAGGAGAAGGCAATATGACCACGGAGGCAGAGATTGGAGTGATGCAGCCATAAGCCGAGGCATACTGGCAGCCACCAGAAGCAGGAAGAGTCAAGGAACAGATTCTCCCCTAGAGCCTCTGGAGAGAGTGTGGCTCTGCAAACACCTTGATTTCAGGCCAGTGATGCCAATTTTTCATTTCTGGCCTCCAGAACTCTGAGAAGCTAAATGTGTATTGTTTTAAGCCACCAAATTTGTGGTCACTTGTTACAGCAGCCATAGGAAACTCATACACCCTCTAAGAGGCTTTCCTATTGGGCACACCAAAGGGTCTGTTTCCCCAGCCTCCTTGCCCTGAGGCCACAGTTGAGGTGAGGCCCTTGCCTGGAGCAGACACACACACATTGCTCTCCCTGACAGTATCAGGCTCAGAGGGAAAGCATCATTTTCATCCCAGGAAGGAGGCAGAGTCGAGGGGAAAATATTACCTAAGTTATCCTTGGTTTTGCTGGTTGGTTTGCAGTATACAACCAGGTCAGAGAGCTCGATGGCGATTGACTGGTTCTTCTCCCAGTACTTCATGTTGTTCTCCTGTTTGGAGTCAACCATCTTTAGTTTCAGCCCTCAGCCCTCAGCCAGCTATCCTCCCAGTTTCTACCTCTGTGTAGGTTTCCTGCCAGCAGCCCCCCTCCTCCACCACCCCCTTGTCCTCCTGCAGACTCAGATCTGTAACAGAGCCAAAGGTTGTCTTCTCCTTAAGCGAACCTCTGCCCTCTCCCTCTTTCCTTCCTCTCACTGCCAAACATCTAGACAGAGCTCCTTCCACTCAGATTCTGTGTCTAGCTTAGTCCCTAACCACCACCCTCTAAAACAGATATCGGGGGGGGCTTCTTTGTCACCACCCCTCTCTGTCCCCATCCTATCCCCTTCCCCAAAACTGCACTGTTAAGAGTCTGTCAAAATCTAGTTCTCAAAGCCCATGCCTCATGAGCCTACATCCCACAGCATCTTTGTCCTCACTCTTGGTCCCCTGTACCCCCCCTCACCACTGCCTATCACACTCTGTCCCAGGACTCTCTGGGGCCCAGGCCCACAGGCATTTTCCTTCGGAGGACCCACACTTGACTCTAACTCCTTCAGAGTCTCCAAGTCAAGATGGATGCCTCACTTCACCCCAACCAGGCACCTCTCTCAAGGCTCCCCAAATTCTATCACTCTCTCATTGGCCAAGGCAGAACCTTGAGAGAGTATGATAGACAGTATCAGGTGTCGCACCCTAAGTGTTTTATGGATGTTACTTAAGTTAGTCCACATTTCCCACTGAGAGGCCAATAGTATTTCCACTTTGCAAAGAAAACTGCAGCATTCAGAGAGGGTAAGAAGCTTACCCCAGGCTACACAGCGGGGCAGGGACAAGGCCAGATGCTTAAGCACCCAGCCCAGCCCAAGGCCCCTCTCCTACCCCACTCAAGTTACCACTCCACCTTGCCCCGACACACCATCAGCCACCAGCACCTGGAGGGTAACCCCTCTCAAATGCCTCCCGCACCAGCCCATCAGTCCACGCCTGGGTCCCCGTGCACTACGGCAAGAACCGCCAACCTTTCACCCAGCTGCCAACATCTCCCTGTCCGCTGCTGGTCTGTGCGGTCACCCCTCCTCCCAAAACCTGCCCTCCTCTAAGGAGCTTCGTGGATCGCTCCAGCCAATACTGGGAAGGGATATAGCCTTCCTCCCATCTTCCTGTGTGCTCGAGGCCTTGCACCACCTTGTGCCACCCCTCACCCACTGTCTTACAGTACAGCCACTTGACGCTACCCTAGGTCTGCTTTCCCCACTGAGATACATCCTCTGAGAGCAGGCTTGCAGGCGGCCAGTGCTCAGGTAGCAGAAGGTGACTTGGTGAAAGAAGTGACGCAACACAGTGGCTAAGAAAGGGGGAACTGGAGTTGGAGACATGAGTTCAAAACCTGGTCCTGCTTTTTACCGGAGGTATCAACTAGGCAAGTCATATCATCTCTCTGCCTCCATTTCCTCAACCATAAAATGATGCTACTATGAGTGCCCACCTCCGACAGCTGGGTGAGAATTAAACGAGGAGGCCTTAGCACATGGTCTGGCATGTAGCAAACACTCACCAAGTGGTAGCTACTCAGACTGCCCTGCAAGATGCCTCCTTCTGCAAGGGATGGGGAAACTCACTCCGTGGAACAGACTAGGGCACCCAATTCGTTCCATAAGATTGCCTCCACCCACAGGCACTGACAATTCCCAAAAGCCAGCTGCTGTCAAGTCAACTCTGATTCATGGCAACCCCATATGTGTCAGAGCAGAAATGTGCTCCGCAGGGTTTTCGAGGGCTGATTTTTCAGAAGTAGATCGCCAGGCCTTTCTTCCGAGGCACCTCTGGGTGGACTCCAACCTTTCAATTAGCAGCTGAGCATGTTAACCATTTGTACCACCCAGAGACTCCAACCTAATCCACAGGGCCAGACAAACAGACCTTGGCAATGACGGACAAACAAGTCTTTTATAAGAGCCCCAGCAGTGACCACATCACCAAGACAGCTCAGAATATGACAAGAAGCCTCTGAAATTGGCCCCAGCTCATCACTGCACACCCAACTGTGACCAACCCTTTCCACACTTCCCGTGCACCCTTGGATACAAAGCAAACCACAACAGTAAGGCTAGAAAGGATCACTGCCGGTAGAATGGGGATGGAGCAGAAAGCAAAGAAGATGTCAGCCAAGTAGTCAATACAAAATGCCCATTTCCCTGAAGCCATATTTCTTTACAAACTTCGGGGGTCTTCTCCTGGTCTGAGTATGAACCTGGCTTTGTATTCTTGGTGCACAATTTTCAGCATGAGGCTGATAACAACATAGCTCACCCCAGTGACAATGGAATTGCTTAAAATGAAGCTGGGGTGGGGCACGCTGCATCTCTGTCTAGTTACGGAACTCGGGCCTTCACAAAGCACAGGGCAGTGACCCCTTAGTGAGGCCTCACTTGTTTTTCCAGCTCAGCAGTAGACCATATCAGTTAAAGATGAAATTAATTCTTACACACTTTTGAAGAAACAACTGGCATTCCTCTCCAGACCTGCAGATTTTGCCCATCATGCCACCTCAGAACACAAAGTCATAACATGCACCATGTGTTAGGCTTTGGGAACTCACTAAGGTGGTAGATCTCAGCAGCTGGCCTCTTCATTGCCGCAGACTGAAGGCGGCCAGAGATGGGGAAGAAATCTGGCGCCCTGAGCAGGTCCTCAGGGACAGGCATGCTGGTTCCCCAAAGGCAAGAGGGGGCCTTCCTTCTTGCCCCGACCCGAGCCAGAGCAGGAACTCAGCCGATTGTGCTAACTCCTGCTTTTTAACCTTCAAATGCAATAATAAGGCTTTAACAAAATTCTCATGAAATCTTCACAAATGTAGGGGGGATGCAGATCAAAGGCAGAGAACAGCCTTGAACAGCTAAGCTTAATTTCAGAAAGCTTTATGTAGTGGGAGGAAAAAAACCTTTAAGTGAAGCCATGGTTTTCTCCACGAAGAGAAGTGGAGAAAGCAGATGCACTAGGCAGAGGGTGTCGTCATGACGCCCGTACCCTCTGAGCCCCACATTAGGTGCATTCTCAGAAAAGGCCAGGGTCTCTGCAAATAAAGTACCAAGGGCACAGTCTCTAAGGGTTTGCTGCTGCTGTCTTTCTCCATTCTCAGCTGGAGGGGCCCAGAAGACCCAATTGACAGGACACACTCAGGAGGGACACATGCTGACAAACGGTGCCACACAGATCATGACAACCATTCAACCGACAGCACACTCTGAGGGAGACAGGGGAGATGATTTTTAAATGAATACTGGGGCAGAGGTGCCCCCCTGGGCCTCAGAGCTGTACTGCGTCACAGGCCCTAGAGGGCCGATGCCCCCATCAGGAAAAGTGGGAACAAGCAGCTCTGCTGGCCACAAGATCATGGCTATTTCCAAGGGACTGGTGATGATGTGACAAGCCTTGGGAAGAACAAGGGACTGGATATAAGGCCTCAGGCTGGATTCTGGGACAGGGAGAAGATTATGAACCCCATCAGGGAGAGTCTTCCAAAGAAAAGGACTTCACTCCAGGGGAGTTAAAGGGTGAATCAAGGGGCTGCTGGTGACCACTCTCAGTGCCCTGGAAGAAAGGAACTCATCAACTATACTCAGAATCTAAGGAGTCCCAATGGGTCCTGCGAAGTTGTAAAATCAACACTTTGGGTCAAGATCTGCCACAGAAGCAAGTGGGAACATTGGAAACCCTAAAATTTCTTTCCAGTTCTGCGGCCACAAGAAAGAGCAGATGGTACCTTACACCATCATCCAAGGTAAGGCAACTCTTCCCCCATGTCATCCTGGCGTGATGAAAACAGAAAGACTAAATGCCGCTGTATGCTGAGCTCTTCCTACGTGCCGGGTGCCAAAACTAGCATTTCTCATGCACCATCTCGATTCATGTCCACGTCATCTTGAGCTAGGTATCTGCCTCCTAATTTTGCATACAGGAAACTGAGGCCCAGAGAGGTTCAGTTACTTGCCCTGCCCAGATTCAAACTGCAGCCTGCCCAATTCCAAACCTCCTGTTATTACTCAGAACCTCACAGCTTCTCAAAACACTTCTAGCCAGATACTAACACCCCAGTAAGGACAACACTGACAAGTTCGTTCCCATCTAGAGTGGAAGTTCCTCTACAAGAATACAAACTTCTGATGCAAGTGAACTGGGTCTGACATGTTTCTGTATTCTCAGGACCTGCTCCAGGTCCAAGGAGACAGTGCTCAGGGAATTCCTGCTGTGGGAAGGATCTAGGCTGCTTTGTACAACGTTTAGAAACAAGAAAGCATTCAAAATGAGGCTGGCAGTGCCTTCTTGTTGAGATACGTCGGGCCAGCCAGGCACTGAACATCAAGTGTCACTGGACATACTCAGACTTCGGGGGGTTCAAATGAGGGGACCTCAGCATCCCTATCCACCAACTCATGATGATGCTCCTGTTGTCTGAACCCACCTTGTTTCCTCCTCCCTGGATTCCGTGCGGTCCTTGGGCCTGTTTTTCTGCCCAGGGCCTCAGCAGAGTCTCGGGCCTGAGAATGCAGGGCCCACCTGAGCAGCAGGTGAGCACAGCGCCTACCTTGGTGTCGATCTTCCAGGTGATCTCTCGGATGCTCTGGAACCACTCAAAGAGATCCTCCACACTGTCTGTGGCAAACTCCACCGGGGGGTCACCCTGCTTCTTGGGCTCCAGGATAAAGACAAAAGGCCTCTGGTTTTTCCCTTGTGGGGCTTTCACTGGGGGAGAGAATGATATAAGCCTCCATCAGCCCGTTAGCAGCCCACCAGGACCAGACTTCACCCTGCTCAAGCCTTCTCTGTCGTGAGGCAAACCAAACTGGCATCACTATGATCGTGGTTGGCACTGACAGGACACCAGCTCTGAACTAGACACCGTGTGGACGCTTTACCCCATTACCACCGAAGGTATGCAGCAGGCTGAGTAGTAAAAGTATATGCCAAGAGGACACGTCAAAGTCCTAATCCCCAGTACCTGTAGATGTGACCTTATTTGGAAATAGGTTTTTGCAGATGCAATTTAGTTAAGGATCTTGGGGTGAGAATCATCCTAGACTGACTGTAGGCCCTAAATCCAATGACCAGTGTCCTTATAAGAGAAAGGACAGGGAGATTTGAGACACAGAGAAGGCGGCCATGTGGGGACAGAGGCAGAGACTGGAGTGATGCAGTTCAAGTCAAGGAATGCCCAGGATGGTGGGGAGAGAGGCACAGAACAGATCCTCCCTCACAACCTCCAAAACGAAACAACCCTGCCGACACCTGAAATTTCAGACTTCTGGCCTCCAGAACTATCAGAGAATAAATTTGTTGTCTGAAGCCACCCAGTTTGTGGTCCTTTGTTACGGCAGCCCCAGGACACTCCTGCAAGGTGCAAAAGTACTTTATATATAAGAAAACAGGGCTATGAGAGGGAAGACTATCTGCCAAATAATAGTGGCAGCTAGCATTTCTGAGCTCTTATACTCCAAGCAATATTCTAAGCAGATTACATGCACTGTGTTTTACTTAATCTCTGTAACTTCCTGGGGTCGGAGGGCAGCTCTGATTACAGAAAACAGAGGCTCACTAAGGGACAGGAACACATGGGAGGACACAGCTGGTGGGGCAAAGATGAGGCTCAAATCAAACCTGAGCCCAAACCCCTGCTCATAACCACTGAGCCTTGTGCCTTGCTCTGCAAACACAGTAGAGATGACAAAAAGAGCATCGTAAGTGCATACAGTCATCTCAAGCCCCCAGGCCCAGCTCACATGTTACCTTCCCGCGGGGCTCAGGCATGTCCTGTGGTTACTTAGGGGCTCAGTTTTCTCATCTGTTAACTGGAGCAAAGACTCCCTCTCCTATCTACCTTACTGAATAGCTGTAAGGGCAGCGCGTGTAGAAAGCAAAGCGCTGGAACACAAGCTGGAAGATGCGGAGACTCCTGTTACCCGAGGCTCAGGAGACAGGTGCACAGGCCTGGGGGGAGGGAGGCCCAAGCTAATGGATCACAGACTTTGTGCTGGCAACACAGAGACCTACTATGGAAATGCAGGCTGCTCAGAGAAGAAAAGCCCCTTTGGCTTTTGGCCTGGAATGTCTCTCCTTACAGCTTTCAGTCCCTTCATATGGGAACTGCACTACGTCCACTTCAAAGGCAGGCTCAAGGCCCAGGGACCCCCATGCAAAGCACAGCCCAGTCCCATCCCATGAGCCTGTGTGCTGGGGCCCTGCCTTCACTGCCCTCTGCAACAGCTGTTGGTTGGGCCGCCAGGTGTCCTGACCCCCATCTAAGCAGCCAGGAAGCTGAGGTTCAGAGGGGTGGTGACCAGCCTATCACAGCAACTGAGGCAGCGTGGGGTTCAGAAGCCAGGACCCCAACTCCAGGCTCCAGCTCAGCCTGGCCAGCTCCTCAGCGCTTCTTAGAAACACCTGGGAAACAGGCAGCTCACAGAACACTAACGACTACGCTGCTAATAACAGCAGCCGCCACTAAGAGCCCTTGTGATGCGCCCGACTGTGCCAGTGCTTTACCACTATCAATAGTGGACATAAGCTTGCGATCACTGACCAACTTGGCCCAAATACTCAGCCTCAGCCAGGGACAAGCAGCCATCAACATGACAGGCTACATAGCCTGGTGACGCCGTGTCCCTTCTCGGGGCGGGTCTGAGGGCTGGTTCTGGGAGATTTTGATGGGAGCCAGGCTCAGCCTGCATGTGCACATACCGACGTTATAGGTATTGAGGTCCAATATCCCTCTGCAAAGAGACCCTAAGGGATTGTCTTCAATAATCTGTGAAGAAACAAGACATAACTCACATTAGTCTTAACGGGAATAATGAAAAGACAGCCAGTTTCCAAAGCACACTGTTTGGTAGAGACACTGCCCGCCGAACTGTATAAAATGCATTTTCATTACAGGATCCGTCCATGGGGAGACAGCAGAATAAGAAAGCATAAAGCTGATGAGACCAGGAGGCGAGCAGGCGCCGTGGCTTCAACTCTTCATTCTCCAACACATAAAAACATGCCCAACGAATTCTACAACAGGTTCCGAAACATGTTCTCAGCTCTGGTTTCCAAAACCCTTCTGACCCAAGTGTCCACCAACAGATAAATAAAATGTGGTATATCTGTACAATGGAATACTACTCAGGCATAAAAAGGAATGAAGTCCTGACATAGGCTACGTACGACGTGGATGAACCTTGACGACATTATGCTAAGTGAAATAAGCCAGACACAAAGGACAGCATATGGTATGATCCCACTTAAATGAAATCTCTAGAATGGGCAAGTGATAGAGGCCAGAGTTATTAGTGGTTACCAGCGGCCAGGAAGAGGGGAAGAGGAGAGTTACTGCTTAGGGAGTACTGAGTTTCTGTCTGGGGTGATGAACAACTTTTGGAAATGGATGGTGGTGATGGCTGCACAACGTGATGAACACAATGTGACAACGTGATGAACACAATGTGACTGAACTGTCCATGTGAAGGATGTTGAAATGGCAAATGTTTTGTTACATATGTATTTACCACAATTTAAAAAAATGGTTCAAATAGTAAGCTTTTGCTATATCTATTTTACAACAGTAACATTTTTTTTTAAAAAAAAGCACCACCTCCTGGGCCCATTATCTGGCATGATTATGAAATGGGACCATTTTGCAACAAACGCCCAGTTCAACAGCCTTCTATGGCTCCCCATGCCCAAGGAAGAAACGTCAGCACTCTGAGACCCGTGTTTTAGGGCTCTCCTGGCTGCGGTCAGCCTTCCCAGCTCTGCCTCCACTGCACACGCCAACCTCGAGCCATCCCCAGGCAGGAGAGCTGAGGACTGTGCACCCAGCCACTCCTTGGACTGCCCTCCCCTACCTGGCTAGTGCTGAGGGTGAGGGTGAGGGCAGCATGGTACAGACACTGGGAGGGGTCACAACTCTGCCTCCATCAAGCACCCTAACTGACCACATTCCTACCACCGAGCCTGGGGCTCACCTCCCACAGGGAATTCCCTCTGCCAGTCTCCTGCTGTTGGACTCTACCTTGACTTTTAGAGGCTCAAGCGCCCCTTCCTCCAGGAAGCCTTCCCAGATGCCTCTCCTCCCTCAGAATATCGCCCAGGCTCTTATGGGGCCTTAACGTCCTCGCTACAGAGACACCACCCTGGGTGCCAGTGCCATCAGGAGAAAGCGGCTGCTCTTCCAGCCTTCTGGTGGAGAGGAAGCTGGTGCCCAGAAACCAGGTCCTCAAAGTCACCAGCGGGGCCTCCTTTCACCTTCTGGTTAGGCACGCTCACTTACTTAGGCACGCCAAGCACGTCCCCCACATCTGGACGTCCAAACTAAATGCATTTTATTTGCATGCTGCTTTAAGCAAAGGACAAGTTTCCTGTTTGGCCATTCTCGCTCCAGAGGGGATTCTCCTGCATATTCAAAGCCTTTCAGCCTAGCACAACCTCATTAAAACGTGACGGGCTTGTCACAACAACTTTCACCCACTACAACTCAGGGACACTCCCAATTTCCTTGTCACTAGGTTCTCCTTATTCCGGAGCTCCACAGGGACCACACACAGCAGGTGCAAAACCCACCTGGAATGGCTTTTCAGACTTCCTGAGAAATAGGACCAGCCGGTCACTTGTTACAATGACTGAGACGTACCTGCTTTTCTAGCTCCTCAACATCAACTGTTGAAATATCCTCAACATAGTTTGACGGGAAGTACTGCTGGATTCGGGCCCCGTAGTCGCCTTTCCACCTAGAAAAAGACAGCGGTGTCAAAGGGCAGAGCGGTATGAATACTCCATTCCTGCGCTCAGACTCCAGCTGCTGGCTCAACTCAGGGGCAAGGCGGCAAGGGACTGACTGACCAGAGGATGTGGTCACTGTCTGGGACAGTGGGGCATTTCAGAGGGTCCTCTGCTTTTCTAGCAGCAAGGAGCAACTGGGGTCATTGCCCTCCTCTTAGCATGGTCCTAATGTTTGGCCAGAGTCCCTGGGTGACACAACGGTGAAACACTCAACTACTAGCAGAAAGGCTGGCAATTAGTACCTACCCAGAGGCGCCTCAGAAGACAGGCCTGGAGACCTGCTTCTGAAAGGTCACGGCCTTGTAAACCCCATGGAAGAATTTTACTCTGCACACGTGTGGCTGCCGCGAGTCAGAATCGACTTGATGGAAACTAATAACAACGTTTGGCCAAGCACACCACAGTCAAATGCTTCTAAGCTTTAAGAAGTCAGGGGCCACAGAAGACAAAAACTCAACTCTAAAGCATGTACCCACCCCATTTCAGGAAGGCTGTGAATTTAGGGGCAAGAGTGGCACGAAGGTGGTTCTGTAGCCAGACGGCTTGGAATCAAACTCCAGATTCACCACCAGCTCTGTAGGTTCTCTGTGCCTCAGACTCTCCATCCATAAAATGGGAATAATAATAGCACCTCCGACTGAGGATCTGATTAGGACTAGATAAGCTGACATACGCTGAGAGCTTTCAACAGTGCCTAGTACATAGTAAGTGCTCAATAGTGTTAGTTTTTCTTGTTACTCAGCTAAAACCCTGTTTTTGATTCTGGAAATCCAAGTAAAAGCTGGGTTGGACAAAGGGGAGTCTCCTGATTTTCAAAAACGTTCGGAAATCTGCCCAATTCCTTGGGCTGCCCCAGCCTTCCCCTACTTGGCTGGTCGTGACTAGGGGCGAGTGCAGTGCAGTACAGCCCTCACCCCCATCTCCTGGACCTTTGCAAGAGTATGAGGAGGGATGTAACACACGCATGACAGAAAGAGGAGGGTAAGAGCGTGGGCTCTGGAGTCAGACAGCCTGGGGGGATTCAAACTCCAGCCTGCCGAGTGACCTGGAATGAGTTATGGCACTTCTCTGTGCCTGAGCTTCCTCACCTGTAAAATGTGGGTAACAACAGAACGAACCTTTTAGGGTCAGTGTGTGGATTCAGTGAGCTATTCCAAATAAATTTCTTAAAACAGTGCTTGGCACACGAAAGCACCCAACGTGCAGGAGGAGCTGCTGTTCGCGTATCTAAGCTGGGTCTGGCTGTCTAGTGAAGAGATGCCCATCTCTAAGGAGCTTCAATCTCTGCCAGTGCTCAGGCGACAAATTCTTACTACTCTATGCAGAAACTACCGAAAAACTACTGCCCAAGGGAGCCTACTGATGGGCAATGAATTTTTCTTCCCAGGTGAACAGAGAGAAGAGGTAACTAAACCCTAGCACACCCAGGTACCCTTGGCTGAAGATACACTCTCATCACCCAGGATGGGGCATTGCACAGAGCACAGGACTAAGTAATAGTGTACGAATTTGAATTTAAAATAGCACACAGGCTTGTGCAATGGGAAGAGCCCACACTACTTAGCAGCTATGTGACCTTGGAAAGCCTCATTTCCTGCATCTGTAAACTGGGGATAATCATAGTCACAACTTTGCAGGGTTGTAACGAAAATTTAGTTTGACGATGTTTGAAAGCGATTAGCATAGTGCCTGCCACATAATAAGATCTCCGTAAATGGTAGCCGCTGTTATAATATGACATATGAGATGTTTGTCGTTGTTAACTGCTGTCGAGTCTACTCTGACTCATGGCGACCCGATGCGTACACAGTAGAACTGCTCCATAGGGTTTTCAAGGCTGTGACCTTTCAGACGCAGGTCACCAGACCTTTCTTCTGAGGCGCCTCTGGGTGAGTTTGAACTGCCAGCCTTTTAGCTAGTAGTCAAGCGCTTAACCATTTGTGTCACTCAGGGATTCCTATATATGACAGACTATAAATTGTTGTTGTTTATCCACTTTCCCAAATAGAGCATACACCAAGCTGCCTTTCCCACGGGTTGTACACGGCAGTCAAAGCCAACTCAGAGCAGCAGATAAAGGGGAGCTAAGCCGGCACCTGAGTCTCGCTACCGACCGAGAAGCCACCAGTCAAGTTCACCTGCCCAGGGGCCCAGATCTCGGGCAGCCTTACCAACCCCCGGGCTCCTTGGAGACGTTGTGGATGAGGGCACCACGGCAGAAGCTAAGCTCATCGCTTCGCTTGGCTTTGTAGTCGTACAGAGCTTTCACGGTTCTCTGAGGCTTTCAGGGAAAACAAGAAGGAAAAGGTCAGGCCGGGCGACAGCAGCAGAGGCGGCATCTGCATCGGCTGGCAACATTAGGGAGCTGACACTTCAGGCCAAGGTTACAGCGACACCTGCTGGTGAGGGTGTGGCACTGCAAGGTGCCAAGGTCCAAAAAGTCACCAAGGGGTGGCACTGGCCTGGTCAGTGCCTGGGCACCTTGGGGTGACCCGATATCGCTCAATTTCCTCAACAAAGAAAGGATATGCCTTTTGGATTATGCCCCAATTGCTACCTCGGAAGTCCTGCATGGCTGTTCTCAATGACCTTCCCAGAAGCCTGATTTTCAAGGACATCACCATTTCCTGGACGTCCTGGGGTCTCACCACTGTTTTTATCTAGGCCAGGGGTCCCCTAACTAGGCTCCTACAGGAAGGTCACTGACACTTTGTAAGAGGAACTGGGGTGCTCCTCCACAAAATTCCTCAGACTGTGGTCTCTTCTCCATTGGTAAAAACAAGTAAGACAGAACTTACTCAGTATAAAATTTTTCTTCAATGAATATGTCTTAAAGCCTGCTTCTTGCAGGTACAAGTCCACAGTAAAATGAATGCCCACAGAGCAGGCAAATATTAACGGGAAACCTCTGAGACTGTCAGACCTGCCTAAATCAGCAGCCCCCCACCCCTACCCAAGGAAACAGAAATAGGAATTTCACAAGGAAGCCAGTAAAAACCAAAGGCTATCGACTAAGACCCATGGTTCAAATCATTGCTCTGCCCTTTCTAGTTATGTGAACTTGAGGCTCTCTGAACCTCAGTTTCTTCATCTGTTAAATGGGAATTTAACTTTTATATACTTCATGTAATGATAAAAATAACAACAGCTAACATTTTTTAAGTGCTCACTATGGTAAAGCACTGTTCTAAGTCTTTTACCTATAGCATCTCCTTTAATCCTCATAACAACTCTAAGAGGTAGGTAGTAGTATAATCCCCATTTACAGATGAGAAAACCAAGGTACAGTGTTAATTAAGTACCTTGCCCAAGGTCAACCAGCTGTTAAACGGCTGAGTCCAAACTCAGTAAGTTAATGTGAGTGACTGCCATAGCTCATGATGATTCATAAAAAGCAATGTGGGTTCTAGAAGCTCTGCCATAGGAACCTCCCACCAGAGGCTAACCAGAGTTCTGCCCTTCTCTTCCCGCCTGCAAATGGAGCCTGCTGTATGGCTCTACCCATGCTTCCTGCTTCAATGGTGGGCATAAGGACCTGAGCTGCAGGTCACTGCCAGGCTCCAAGGCCTCAAGGGAAGTACAGCCAGTGGCAGAGGGGATGCCACTAATGGCTTTCATGGGGAGCAAGTCTCCAACCAGATGGTGAGAGAGGCCTCTTGTCAGGTCCCCTGAGCTACAGGGAAATAAGCCATCCATCAGATGACCAAGTATGTGTGTGGTACAGCAAGGTGGTTGTCTGAGTCATCTAGTGCTGCTATAACAGAAATACAAGTGGATGGCTTTAATGAACAGAAACTTATTTTCTTACAGTTTGGGAGGCTAAAACCAAAAATCCGAAACCCGTTGCCGTCGAGTCGATTCCGACTCGCAGCGAATTCAGGGTGCCAGCTCTAGGGGAAGGCTTTCTCTCTCTGTCGGCTCTGGAGGAAGGTCCTTGACTCTTCAGCTTCTGCTTCCTGGTTCCCTGGAGATGTCCATGTGTCTTGGCGTCTGTCTTACCCCATATCTCTGCTTCTTTAATCTGCTCTTTTTATAGTTTGTAAGAGACTGACTCAAGACACATCTTATGCTAATCTTGTCTCATTAACAAAGACAACCCATTCCCAAATGGGATTATAACCACAGGCATAGAGGTTAGGATTTACAACACATATTTTTGGGGGACAAGATTCAATCCCTAACAGTGGTTAAGAGCACACTCCTTGGAGCCAGAATGTCTGGGTCCAAGTTCCAGCTCCACATCCGTATGGGGTTAAATAACCAAAAAAAAACCCGTTGCCATTGAGTTGATTCTGACTCATAATAGAGAGCCTAGAGGACAGAGCAGAACTGCCCCATAGGGTTTCCAAGGAGTGGCTGATGGACTTGAATTTCTAACCTTTTGGTTAGCAGCCAAGCTCTTAACCACTGCACCACCAGGGCTCAATACCCAAAAAAAACCCATTGCTGTCAAGTCGATTATAACTTATAGTGACTCTACAGGACAGAGTAAGACTGCCCCACACAGTTTCCAAGGAGCGCCTGGTGGATTTGAACTGCTGACCTTTTGGTTAGCAGCTGTAGCTCTTAATAGTATCCCCCAAAATTCATGTCCACCTAGAACCTGTGAATGTGACCTTATTTAGAAACAGGGTCTTTGCAGATGTCACCAAGTTAAGATGAAGTCACAATGGATTAGAGTGGGCCCTAAATCCACTATGACTGGTGTCCTTATAAGGAGACACACAGAGACGCAGACAGACACACAAAAGGGGAGGATGGCCATGTGAAGTTGCATCTACAAGCCAAGAAACACCAACAAGTGCCTGAGCGACCAGAAGCTGGAACAAACAAGAATCTTCCCCTAGGAGGACAGAGAATATGACCCTGCTGATACCATGAATTTGCACTTATAATCTCCTGAGGAAGGCCATCAATGAGATGGATTGGCACAGTGGCTGCAACAATGGGCTCAAACAGAGCAACGACTGTGAGGATGGCACAGGACCGGGCAGTGTTTTGTTCCGTTGTACACAGGGTCGCTGTGAGTCAACAGCACCTAATAACAACAACAACCTCCAGAACTGTGAGTAAATCAGCTTCTGTTGTTTAAAGCCACCCAGTTTGTGGTATTTTGTTACAGCAGCCCTAGGCCACTCATACAGACACTGAAACATTTCTTGTGCCTGGTCAGCTTCACTCATTCACGTTACCTGCCTGGCCTTTATGGACGTTTGAGTTTGTAGCCGCTTTCAGGAAATTCATTTTAAAAGGTAAAAGAGAAAGGCTCAAGCCCTTCAAAATAAACTCTAAGTACACCATTCCATCAAACAGAGAGTCTGCCTGAAGTCACTCCAGTGGCCTGCATTCAATTTGTAAAACACATACACGAGGGAGAGTACTCTTCACTGCTAATAAAAGTTCTTGCTATTAGCAAAATGCCCTAGTGCAGAGCACACACAGCTCAGTTTGCCCACACCTTTTTCAAGACTTCATCTCTTACCAAGCAGCATTTGCACTGGCCAAAGACTATAAGTTAAAAAACAGAATCTGTCTCTGGGCTTCTAGCAAGCTCACAGCAGGGCCCCTTCCTAGGCGGGAGGTGAACACCAGTCATGCATCAGATGGTTCCCCAAACAGAAGATTCACGATAGTTGTTCCTCCTCGGGCTCACACACAATATGAGATGAAGCCAGAGCAAGGCGGAGCTGGGGCTGGCGGCAAAATCCACCCCACCTCCATGAAAGGACACAACAGAGTCAGGTGGGAAGGAGCGATAGCGACTGCACTGCAAGGTCAGTGAACCAGGTGGAATTTATAAACACCACAGGCTCAGTCGGCAAGTGAGAAACATCAGAGAGACTTTTAATTAGAAGCCAGTTGGCCCAAAGGTGGTTCATCAAACCTCAGAATTTTGGCAAGGCACAGTTCTATTTAGATGGAATCCCATTAACCTTTTCCCTGAAACTAAACGTCATATTGTCAATCATCCTTTCCTCTCCCCTCCCCTACAACAAAATTTTTTTTGTCTAAGTTTTCCAAAATCTTCCCTTGCCCTATTATAACTGCAGTGGCAGCAAGAGGTAGGACATGGAACCCAGGTTAATACAGGGATTAGGAAATCGCATGACTCGAGGTGGGGGCCGTCGGCACTGTACCGTGGATGGGTTGATTTCACTTGGATCCACATACATCCTGCTGACGTCATAGAGGGAGTTTATATCTCTTTCCTGAAAAAAAGAGCAAAGAAAGATAAATGGAACAATCCATGCTCCTGGGATAAGACGGCATACATACATCAAGGGCTTTAGGTTTCCTAGGGGTTACCTGTCCTTCAAGGTCCCTATTTGCCTTTGACTACTAACAAACAGATTACGGTTCAACTACTAACCTAAAGGCTGGTGGTTCAAATCCACCCAATGGTGCTGCAGAAGAAAGACCGGGTGATCTGCTTTTGTAAGGATTACAGCTAAGAAAACTTTATGGAGCCATTCATGTATACATGGGGTTACCATTAGTAGGAATCAACTCGATGGCAGTGGTTTGGTTTTGACCTACCCTTTGGTAGAAGAGTCAAGACCTCAGAGTTTACTTGTGGCTCGTGGGTAGAGACAGGAAGAAGCTATAAAGTTCTCCAAAACTTGGAAGCTTTACCCAAAAGTGAGCGAGGCCCCTGTCCTGGTCTACTCTGTGCCAGGCACTGTGCACCACTGTGAAAAGACGCCAACCCTAAGACCCACCGGTGTGCTGGAGCTAGCACACCACTTATGTCAGTCCACTGTGCGGATCTCTGCCGACTCCACGTCCAGTGACACCATGTTGCTGCCCTGAAGTCAGCCATGGTGAAAGTATTTACACCACAGGAAGTGGCGAATGCTGTAACTGTTTTCCCCCAGACAGCCAATTAATACTTCTCAGCTCTGTCCTCTTCCACCTCCTTGGCCCTCTCCATTCGGCTCTGACCACAGTGGCCTCTGTTTGTCACACAACCTGGGGCTGTGCTGTGGTTGCTGCCTCTGCCTGGACCATCTTCCTTCCTTCACATCTCCCTGCCTTCTAGGTTGGGGCTCAGTTTCACCTGCTCAAGGAGGCCCTCTCTGACCCCCACCCCCGCCAGTCATCGACTGCAACCCCCACACCTTACCATGTCATCTGCTTTATCTTCTTCATTGTAATTTACACTATCTGAAATCATCTTATTTACGTAATTGCATGTTATTTGTCTCCCCCCTCTACAACCTACAGACGCTGTTCCTCAGTACCCCATGCCCTGAACCCAGAACAGTTCCTGGCACAGGGTCCATGAACCCATCTGATAGGAATCGAGACACGGTAATCAGATCACGTCGCTCCTCCACTCAGAACCCTCTGATGGCTCAGAGTAAAAGTCAGTGTCTTACAACGACCTACCAGGCCCCACACAATCCTCTCCTATTAACCCTCATCCTTACTTAGTTCTACTGCCCCCCCCACCACCACTTGATACCAGCCACTGGCTTCCAGTCTGTGCCTCCAGTCACACAGTTACCTCAGGACCTCTGCACTTGCTGTTCATTCTTCCTCCAGCATGGCTCACTTCTCCACCTCCTCTAGTATCTGCTTCAATGTCTCCTCCTCAGTGAGGTCTGCAGACCACCCTCTGAACACTGCAGCCCCTCCCCATCACTCCATGCCCACTTATCCACCTTCCCAGTCATGTCCATCTCTGTAACACTCACGGCCTGCCACATGCGTATATATTTTCATTTATCAGCTCTTTCTCCCAGAACGACAGCAGGGTTTTTGTTGTGTTTGATTTTGCAGCCCAAGGATGTAGGGCAGTGCTGGACACAGGGTAAGTGCTCAAAGGTTTGTTGAATGAATGAACAGATGAATTATAACCTCAGGCAAGACTTTCTCCTTTGCCACCCACCATGTTGTAGCGTTCCAGTAGCTCAGGGGTCACTGGGTAGCGCAACTTCATCTTGCGGTAGAGTGCATGCTTCTCGTAGTAGTTGACCAGCTCCACCAGGCTCTCGAAGTAGGCTGAGGTCCCCAGCACAAAGTGCCGGCCATCCCGGTTGATGCGGCAGTGTTTCACCTTACCCCTGGCCCTGGACAGGAGGCCACACGAGTCAGACACCTGAGACCCTGGGAGCCAGACTGATTAGAAGCAACCCAGCTACCCATCCTTGAGGACCAGCTAAATAAACAGGGCACGACCCTCCTATGGAATACAGTACCAGTACCAATCGCCGTCAAGTCAACTTCGACTCATGGCGACCCCATGTGTGTCAGAGTAGAACTGTGCTCCACAGGGTTTCCAATGGCTGATTTTTCAGAAGTAGATCACCAGGCCTTTCTTCTGAGGTGCTGCTGGGTAGACTTGAACCTCCAACCTTTCAGTTAGCAGTCAAGTGCGTTAACGGTTTGCACCACCCAGGAACTCCAAGACGGCATTAAAAACAATGGTGTGGATCTTTACAAAACAGATATAGAAGAATCATCAAGAAATACTGCTGAGTAGCTCTATAGCTAGCTCCTGCCCTCCCCCTCTGCCCCAAACACATGGACTGGACTTTGGGAACATCCTAGGTGTTTAGATCAGAGGTTGGCAAACTATTCCCCATGAGTCAAAACCAGCCTGCTGGCTGTTTCTGTAAATAAAGTTTTCCTGGCCCACAGTCGTTCATCTGTATTACACTGCAGCTTCTGTGCTGCAATGGCCAAGGTTGAGTCGTTGCAGTAGTGACATACGGCCCGTAGAGCCTAAAATATTTACTATCCTGGCCCTTAGAGGAAAAAGGTCTGACTCTGCTCTAGAACTCTTGGACTTAATCCTCAAATCTTGAGATCTTACCTCCAATTGCCCACCTAGTGCAACAACTGAATTTTTTTTTAAGGGTAGCAAACCTTTCATTTCTTCATTTGAAACAAGAGGCAGAAAAAATCCAAAACAGAAAAGGCTCTTCAATCTTATTAGCATTTATGAGCAAGAAGAGAAAGTAAGTTTTGACCCTAACTTTACAGCCAAAGAGATCTTTTAAAAAACACCTAAAGGCTTAGTTCCTATGGGTATAACTGTTCATCTTCTAAACACTTTGTGCTTTAAAAATTCTTTTTTATTGTTTTTTTTTTTAAAAAAAAAAAGCATCCTGTTAAACCATTCCTACAAGAAGTCCTGTAAAAACAAATGCTGGAAGACTTCTGCTTCAGTGGTTGATTTGCAGCGGTATTTTATTAATTTAAACATTCATTTTTAAAAAACAGGAAAGGAAGACTGCGGAGTAGTTGCAGAATGAAACTAGAGTAGGATCCCATTTGTATTTTTAAAACATGGAACAAAATACCCACACGCAAGACGGTCTCTAGATTTTCCATCCAGAAAATTTTTCCACATAGATATATGTATGTACAGACATTTTTTAAAGAAGTCTGGATGGAGACACCAACTAAGAAACAGCTTCTTGCAAGGAAAGGATTGAGAGGAGAAGGACCAAAGGGGACTTTAGCTTTATCTATAATGTTTTAATTTTTTATAAGAAGGATGTATTCATGTAATATTTATGCAACTAATTTTAAAACTTTTTACAAATGTTCTTTAGGGCAGAGAGGCACTAGGGTGTTGAGGCTGAGAGCATGGGTCAGGTTCTGGCTCCTTCCTTATGTAACTGGGCAAGTGACAGGGTTTCCTCAACCACGCTTGTGGGGATGAGCAACTCCTGCTGCCGGGGGAGTGTCAGGATCCAGGTCTGTTGGGTGATCCCACTTCAGCCCTCAGCATTGTGTCTCCCACACAGTGGGGACTCCGTGAATGAATGGTAGAAAATACCAGGTACCAGTTGCTAGGGAGTCGATTACGACTCATGGTGACCCCATGTGTGTCAGAGTAGAACTGCACTCCATAGGGTTTCCAATGGCTGGTTTTTTGGAAGTAGATCGCCAGGCCTTTCTTACAAGGTGCCTCTGGGTGGACTCAAATCTCCAACCTTTTTGTTAGCAGCTGAGCACATTAACCGTTTGTACCACCAGGGACTCCCTTAAAAAATACAAGCAAAATCAAACCAAAATTAGCTTCCTTAGGAGGAAGAACAATCAAAAGGGAGATGGAGAGCGAGGGCCGCAGTATAAGTGGCTCTTTCCAACCTCCTGGAGTGCTGCTACGAGCCAGTGGACACCAGGGCTCGAGGTCTGAGCTTCACCAAGGAGCCCCTCTCCCCACCAAGGGCTGCCTCCCACCAGCCACACCCAGGAGACCACTGCATCTCTTCATATGGATGTGAAGGCAGACTCCTCCCCCGTCCTGTGGAAACCCATCCAGAAGTTCCCTATACGTACCCAGAGCCTAGAACACTGCCTGGCACACAGGGGGCTCTCTAGAAATATATGTGGGAGGAGAAAGGAGGGAGGAAAGGATAGGGAGGGGCTTTAGAGGTGAAGAGGGTGGAGTCTGAAAATTCCGAGTCAGGCTGTGTGACTCTAAACAGGTCCCTGAACCTCTCTGGACCTTACCTGTAATAACTGGACCTATCCCACATGGGCTATAGTAAGGATCAATAAGATGAGGCCTAGAAGGGAGTCTGGAGTCCAGTCCATGGGTGGTACAAACAATTAACACGCTCAGCTGCTAACCAAAAGGTGGGAGGTTCAAGTTCACCCTGAGGCACCTTGGAAGAAAGACCTGGAGATCTACTTCCAAAAAATCAGCCATTGAAAACCCCATGGAGCACAGTTCTACTCTGACACACATGGGGTCGCCATGAGTCAGAATCCACTCAGCAGTAACTGGTAGACAGCAGCCCAGTGTCTGGAACACAGTTAAGAAGTGAAAATATGGCAAGCAATGATATGATACCATCATCAAGAACAGGATGGAGAGATGTAGGGACTGTAGGATGAGCTGGGTTTGAGTCCCTCTATTCCTAGTACCCACCCACACTGGGGTGGAATTAAAGCAGAGCACCACGGTACCAGAGGTGAATGGTCTATATGGTCTTCCCACTGGCAGTGCTAGGTGGCAGCTGAGGGTAGGAGGAAATCAGACCTGTAACATCATGGGTCAGGGCTGCCCAGGTTCAAATCCCAGCTCTACTACTTCCTGGCTCCAAGTCCCAGCAAGTTACTTAACCTCACTGTGCCTCGGTTTCCTCCTCTGAAAAAGATGGGGCTCTTGGTAACACCAACCCCATAGAGTTGTGGGAAGATGAAATGAGTTCTAGAGCACGTCATTCTAGAGAATATCTAGAGAAACAGACCAGCGACCAGCATGTGGAAAGCGCCATATTAGTGTAGGAGGCTCTTCCTATTATTTTTGTTGTAAAGGACACTGGGAGGTCCAAACTCTGGACCTGAGCTAAGCCTCCACTTGACGTCCCCCTTTGTCCTCTACACCTGCCCCCTGCCCCGAGCTTCCTCCAGGGAGCGTGTGTGCAGCACTCCCCCCTGCAGTTACCTGAAGGTGATGGCGTAGGAGTCAGCACCTTCTCGCTTCCGGATCAGGAAGGCCCCGTCCCGGGGAACCCTCATCAGCATGTCCTCGGCTTCCCCACGGCTTAGCCTCTCATAGTACCACCTACAGCAGGTAGCAGAGGAAATGGCCAGGTGAGAGAGAGAATGGCAGAGAGAGGAGGAAAGGGCCAGGTGAGAGACAGAGATCGAGGCTGCAGAGGACCATCCCCCTAGGAAGTCATACAGCCTGGAAGTCACCACGGATATTACACTGTAACTTCCCCATCCCTCCGCCGAAAACAGCAATTTTTGAAGAGAATACCACAACGGAGCATGGGTGAAACCTTTATGCAGTGGGTCTGCTTGGAGCACAGGAGAATAAATCGATGTATCTTTACCAGCCAGCCCAGGACCAAGGAGCCAGCATCAGACAGGGCACAGCCAGCCAGGTGTGTCTCAGAAAATCGGAGGCAGAAAACACAGGCGGGACAGCCTTACAGGGGGTTTTTTGATTATCTTTTAAGATGTAAAACGGTGATTTCTAGAAGGCAGTCGATTAAGGATGTTGAAAAAATTTGGAAACAGATAGTGGTGATGGCTGCATAACACGGTGAGTGTAATTAATGTCACTGAACTGTACACATAAAAATGGTTGAAATGGAAAATGTTTTCTTATATATATCTTTCAACACAATAAAAAATTTTAAAAGGCAATCCACATGGAAATGCAGACAGGAAAAGTAAAAGTTGCTCTAAGTTAGTACAAATTCCTCAGAAAAGTGAATTTTAGCAGCCTTCTGCTGAGATTTTTTTTTTCTTTATTTCTAGAACTTGTAAAACCTTTGCAAGGCATAGGTGACACTCACTTTAGTTACTACATAAAAAATGAAAGGGGACCTTACAATTATGTTTTCCTTGTTTGTTTTCAGAACAAACAGGAAGGAGCTTTGACAAGCAGAAAGATATTGCCAGGCAAAAAAAAAAAAAAAAAAATTGACATTTGAAAATCAAAGCCCAAGATGTCAGGATTCCAAAGATAAAGTAGGAAAAGAAGGGGAAGGGAAAGGAAAGAGGAGAGGAGAGAGCAGAGTAGAGCAGGCAAAAGTAATGGGAACTGAGGCCCCCTTGGGGATTTTAAGAGGCCTCAGTGGGCCCAGGGGAGGGGACTCAGGAATTCCGGCCCAGCACACCCACAAGCTGCATTTTTCTGTTCATCGTGAACATCCCCCTAACACATGAATAGCAATGCCTGGGACCAGCAGCGCACTCACGGCTGTGACTCGTGCGGGTTGGGGTTGGGCACGGGGTCGGTGAGCCGCAGCTGGAACTCAGCACAGCGCAGGTGGCTCTCACGGTAGTGCTGGATGAGGGCGTAGATGCTGGTGAACATGAGGTTGTCAGTCAGGTAGTACTTCAGGGTCCCACCCTCCATGGTCGAGCGGATGTGGCAGTGCTGGACCCGGCCCGACCGCCTGTGGGGACAGGGATGCTGTGAGTGCATGCCAACAGGCTGGCCCGCAACCTAGAACTGAGCCGGCTTCCAGGAACACAGGCCAGGACCAGAGTTGCAGCAGAACCCCAGGGGTTCACACTATGTTCTGGCCACACAGGCCTTCTCTCTGCTCTCAGAACAGGTCAGGGGCTTTAGCATAGGCTGTTCCTTTGCCCTAATTCCAGAACATTCTACCTACTCCTCCCACTCACTGTCCCCTTTTACCTATGTAACTCCTACTTGAGAGCCAAACAGTCTGAGTTCAAATCCTGACTCTGCCACTTGCAGGCTAAGTGACCTTGAACACGTTACCTGACCTCTCTGAGCCTCAGTTTCCTCAACCCTAAAGCAAGGATAGTAACGGTATCTACCTCGTAGAGATGTCCTGAGGATTAAATGAGATCACACATAAAATGCGCCTGGTGTGCTGCCTGGCACCTGGTAAGCATTACATAGGTGTTAGCTATCACTGTTATTTTATTATTACTAATTTTTATCCTTCAGGCCTTACCTCATATGCCCTTCCCTTCAGGAACTCCTCCCTTACCATCCCCGCCTATTACATTCGATCCCAGTAACAGACTTCAGAAGTCCCCCTACATTACAGGAGGCCCCTCTGTCACAGACTCATAACATCTGGTATTTTTGTCTTTCACTGTACTATTAGAACCGTAATTACACATCATTTGTATGATTACTTGTCTAATGTCTGTCTCCTCCACCAGACTCTAACCTCCACGAGGACAGAGTGGTCTGTCTATTCTGGGACCTGGTCTGTCAGTTCTCTGATGAATTACTGTATCTAGCACATTGCCTAAGGAGCCCTGGTGGCACAATGGTTAAGCACTCAGCTGCTAACCAAAAGGTTTGAACTCACCAGCCGCTCCATGGGAGAAAAGACCCGGCAATCTGCTAGAAAACCCTATGGCACAGTTCCACTCTATCATACAGGGTCACTATGAGTCAGAATCGACTTGTCGACACACAACAACACGGTGCCTAGTACCAAGTAAGCGCTCAGTAAATGTCTTAGAATGAATTAATGCAGGCATGGATGAACAAATGAGCACGCTTACTGCATCCTTCTAACACCTCCATAAGGCCACCTTTGGAATCCCCATTCTATGGATAAAAAGACAGAGACTCTGAGAGGTTGAGCTGGTTGCCCTGAGTCATACCACCCCTACTCCAGGGCTGGGATTAGAGGCAGATGAGGCCTCATGGCACAAGTGTCTTTATTTAAAATGTTGTTCTTTTGTTCATCACGGTTTTTTAAAGCATAGTATTAAAATGTTTTTTATCTTGATCACACTTTTTTGGCTCCCCTTAACCCCTGCACCAAGGTGAGTGCCTCACCCTCCTCACCCTAGTCCTGGCTCAACACAGCTCACTGAATGAAGTCTGAGATTCTGGGCCAGGCCTATCTGATTCTCAGCCCCACACCACCCCGATGTGAGTGGCTGGCGGGCCCAGGGCTGAGGGACATACCAGAAGGAAAGCGTGTAGTCGTTGGGGAAGGACTCACTCTCCCGCACCAAGAAAGTCCCGTCCTTGCCCCCCGACTCGGCGCAATACTCCTGCAGCAGCTTCTCGGCGCTGGTCCTCTTCTCGACCTTTTTGTGGAACCACTTCTCCCCAAAGTGCAGCTCCGTGGGGGGCGTGTCCTGGGCCACAAAGAGAGGAGGGGGTTTCTGTAAGCTCATTAGCCCAGAACAGTGTGGACCAGAACCCAGCATCACCAAACAGGCCCTCTGGCACATGCTGACTCAGTGATATGGCTCCCTGCTTATTGGGACTGGACAGAGAGAGAGGCTGGCCCTGGCTGGCCCTCACTCCAAGGTCTGAGAAGACACTGTCCACTGACTGTCCTGCTTGCCACCCACTCCTGAGAGCTCCCATTTACAGTGGTCTCCTTGAGTCATGAGAAAAGGGGTTCCCATGAGGGCCCTCAACTCTACAGTAAGTCTGACAATCATGATGCCTTGACAGCTACACTCAAGAAATAATACCAAAGGATGGCCCCAGCTAAGGGGAGAAGGCAGGAAAGCCTGGGACCAGGCCAGGGCTGCAGGGAGCGTCCACATGTCCCCACTGTCCCCAGGGATCACAGGCCACCACCTCAGGCTGGTGAGGCCCTTCAGAAGGCCTAGAGAGCCTTGAACCCTATTGGTTAAGCATGTGGCCAGCCAACCAATCAGAGTGGAGCTAGGCAGGCTTTGGTATGCAAAGAGGTGCCTCCCTAGTGTTGAGGAACTCCACTCCAGCCTGCCAGAGGCCCAGAGAAGCAGTGTAGGAGGTCTTCAGGACCCCAAGGAGCAGCCTAGTTCAGGAGGCCAAGAGCAGCTGGGTGTCCACCTACCTGGGGCAGCTCCTCTTCCACCGTCTGCTCAATATCATCACTGAAGGACAGCTTGGCATCAGCGATGGCGCAGTAGTGCCGAGTCCATTTCTACGAAGGGAGACCACATCCATACAGGCCCTGGGAGGGCCCCAAGGCTTCCACCCCATCAACACTGATCCCAGCACTGCTCCACCTCCTGTCTAGTGAATGCTAGTGACCTAGCATTCACGGGGGAGTCATTCAGCTTTCCCAGTTTCCTAGACCTTGGTGATGACTTCACTGAACCTCAGGATATTTCTTTATTAAAACAACTTATTTATTTTGGGCTTCTTTTGTCATTTTAAGAATTTTTTTAAATCAGTGTATCTAACGGTAGATATGAATTAATAATGAATTACAAGTCCACCCAGAAGCACCTCGGAAGAAGGCCTGATGATTTACTTCCAAAATATCAGCTACTGAAAACCCTGTGGAGCACAGTTCTACTCTGACACACATGAGGTCACCATAAGTCAGAGTCGACTGAACAGGACCTGGTTACTAGTTACTGGTTATAGTATATTTAATTTGCAGCCTTTTATGAACAATGGGTTGTTTGGTATGTCCTCGGGACTGTCTTTTCCTATTTCGTCTGCTCTTTAATACTTTCAAGATTTTTTTAGCCGATTTTCTAGAGACCCATCCTTCAACATTTAATTGTGACTAAACTGTTTATTTAACTTTTAATCATTTTTTTAATGTATTCTATCTAGGCTATAAAGAACAGACATGGAAAAATATACTCAAATGGGCTTGCATGTTAGGTAAAGGAATATGAGAAGTGGTTTTAGGGGAAGGGAATGTTAGCTCTCTAAATGCCTTATTCTCATGAAAGAATAGGTTTACAGTGGAAATGTCCCGGAACTGGAGGATACTAAGGAGTTAGAAAGCAGCCCTGGTGATGCAACAGTTAAGTGCTTGGCTGCTGACCTAAAGGTCAGCGGTTCCAACCCACCAGCCGCTCCACAGGAGAAAAGACCTAGTGATCTGCTCCTGTAAAGATTACAGCCTAGAAAACCCTACAGGGCAGTTCTACTTTGTCATACAGGGTTGCTATGAGTCAGAATCCACTCGACAGCGCACAACAACAAGGAGTTAGGACAACTAAACGCGCTGCGCTATCCCGAACTAGATCCTGGACCAGATAAAGGATATTAGTGGACAAACTGGTGCAAATGGAATAAGAAGGTCTATAAATGAATTACTAGTGCCGTAGTGATGTTAATGTATGATAGTATTGCACCAACAATATGATGCTAGTACTGGGGGAATCTGGGTGAAAGATATATGGTAACTCTGTACTACTGAAAAGAAAAAATACATATATGTATTATATACATTTAGTTGCCATGAGTTGGAATCAACTTGATGGCAGCAAGTTTGGTTTTTTGGTTTTACATATAATAATGAATATAAAATTATTCTAAAATATAGCATTAAAAAGCAAAAAATATGAAGTTTCATTATGAAGATAAATTCATTCGGCAAAAATCAATTAGGGTCAAAATGGGACTAAGCCCAGAGTAACCCTGGAGCCCTCCAGCAGGCCTCAGACTCATTGACAGGCCTACCCAGGGGCAGGCGGCCAGTGGCAGGGGTGCCGCGATAGGTGTGAGAAGGGCCCCAGCCCGACCTGGTCGATGGAATCCCACATGTACAGTTCACCCTGCTGCCTGTGCTCATCCTTCTTGTCCTCCACGTTGACGTCCACATCACCTCGGGGGCCTAGCTTCTTATGCTGAGGGGAAAAAAATTGCACATAGCATGACTCCTTCATGACCCAAGTTTCGGATCAGCCAGCCAGCAAGCATTCATCCACACCATCTCACCTCAGGGCCTTTGCACGTTCTGTTCTCACTGCCTGGCTTGCCTCTCACTACATTCAGGTCTGTGCTCAATGTCACCTCGTCAGACGAGCCTTCCCTGAACACTTCATCGAAAAAGAGCCCACACTCCCCCGCTTCCTGCCCCCTTACTCTCAAGCCCCTAGTCCTGCTTTATCTTTCTTATCCCTTAGAGGTATGTGATCTATATATCTATTTGTTTCGTTGTCTTCTGTCTGTGTTGCCTGACACAATATAAGCTCCATAGCCCCTGCAGAGTATCATGTAAGCTGGTGGGTGTGAAAGATACTTGTAAACAGCGAAGCTCAACACGAGTGTCCCTTTTCGAACAGCAGGCACAGGAACACAAACTTGGAAGCCAGACAGACCTGGCTTCGGATTATTTCCTTGGCAGGGACTAACCATGTGGGCTTGTTCGGGTCATTTAACCTCTAAACCTAAGTGTCCACATCTGTAAAGTGGGGGGCAGAGCGAGGGGGCTGAGATGCCCCATCCTGCAGGGTTGTGATGAGACTAAAGAAGAGAATGTTTATGAACGCCCAGCCCGATGCACAGCACACAGTGCTTGTGTAAAAAATGCTATGTGGACCCTTTTCCTTTAATAGAAAGGGGTGAGACCCTTAGTGTCACAGTTGGGTGAGTGGAAGCAGCCTTCCCTACTTCACACCCAACAGCAAGAGCTGGGAAATCCAGGAGCTACTCAGAGAGCTGTCCCGAGTTGGAGACGGGGAAGCTAGAGGGGCTGTGAGCAGAGAAGAGCAAATGCAATGAGGTAGCCACGAAGACTCGCCAACCCTCCATGGTCCAGCTCCCTTTGCCCTGGGTCCTGCCCTCACCAGGCTGGAAGCTTCCCTCAAAACTCAGTGGATACTTCCAGGTGCTCAGGGTCTTCAGGAGTCCCTGGGTGGAGCAAACGGTTAATGCACTCAGCTGCTCACTGAAAGGTTGGTGGTTCTGGTCCACCCAGAGGCCCCTTGGAAAAAAGGCCGGGCAACCTACTTCTGAAAAACCAGCCACTGAAAACTCTATGGAGCACAGTTCTGCTCTGACACACGAGGTCGCCATGAGTTGGAACTGACTCAATGGCAACTGGTTTGGCTGCCTGGGTGGCACAAATGGTTAAACGTTTGGCTACTAACTGAAAGGTTGGTGGTTCAAATCCACCCGGAGGCACCTTGGCAGAAAGGCCTGGTGGTCTGCTTCCGAAAGATCACAGTGTGCCCAGGGGCCTACCTTGATGATAACCTTCTCTCGAAGCTGGCTGGGTGAGGGCAGCTGGTCAGCACTGGCCTCTGTGGGCTTCATGAGCAGCAGGTCGTCCAGCACCTCCTTGAACACCTTGGCCATGTAGCGCTGCTGCTCCACGCTGCAGTGCTGCTCAATGGACAGGATCACGGGGAAGCTGCAGCAGCAGAGGGGCCGGGCTGGTCAGGGCCGGGGAGTAGGCACCGGGCTGCCGCTCAGGGCACACCCTCTGCCTGCCCAGCAGAGAAGCTGGGAGCCGACTGGCCCCAGCGGGAGTAGGCACTGGGCCACTGCTCGGGCACACCCTCCATGCCTGTCTGGGAGCAAGGTCAGGGCCTGCTCAGAACCGGGGAGAGCAGGCACTGGGCTGCTCCATGCCCACCCTCCCTAAAGGGGGAAACCACATGCTGGGGGGCAGGCACCCACAAGCCCAGGACTCAAGACAGCGCTAGTCTAATTCAAGGTTTCCCAAACTCAGGCACTCTCTCACATTCTCTGCCCAGTGCTCATCATACCCAGGAACAAATCCTACTGTGATTTTCTCTACTTGTCTTTCAATCCACTCATTTCTTTAAACTTGAAAAAAATAAAAGTCTTTATATTTTTTTTGAAAAATAGAAAATCGACAGGAAAGGTGAAAAGGTGGTATAATGAGCACTCGTATACCCTTCATCGGAAGTCACCAACTTTTAGCATTTTCCACATATGCTTCCATATGTGTACTTTAATGATTCCCTGAGCAGTGCAAACAGTGAATGACTGGCTGCTTACCTAAAAGCTGCAGATTCGAGTCCACCCAGAGGTGCCTCCGAAGAAAACGCCTGGTGATCTACTCCCAAAACATCAGCCACTGAAAACCCCATGGAGCACAGTTCTACTCTGACACACATGGGGTCACATATATATATATATGTGTGTGTGTTAATGGAACTTAGGTCATTTCTACCTTTTGGCTGTTGTGAATAGCACTGCAATGAACACTGGTGTCCATGTATCTGTTTGAGTCCTTGCTTTCAATTCTTTTGGATACTTAGGAGTGGAATTGCTAATCACTCTATGTTTAAGATCTGGAAACCAAGGCACAGAGTGGGGCCTTCCTCAAGCTGGTAATTAACAGACATGGAATTCAAACTCGAGCAGAGTGATGCAGAACCCATACTCACATATGCTATTCCATACCATCAGTGATCAAAAAGACCACCATCTCTCCATTTCAGCCACAGAATGCCTCTTGCCAACTATCAGAAATTACACAGGAGCTAGATCAGGGGTCAGAAAACTATGGTCCACAGGCCTGCCACCTATTTTTTGTCAATAAAGTTTTATTAGAACATAGCCCATTTGTCTACATTGTCTGTGGCCCAACAGTAGATTGAGTAGTTGCAATGGAGACCATACGGCCTTCAAAGCAGAAAATATTTACTATGTGATCCTTTACAAAAATAGTTTGTCGACCTCTGCCCTATGCTGAGATCCACTGGTGGCACAGATAAGAAGTCCTAGAAAGCAACCTAAATGTTGGCATGTGCACACTTAGTGCCTCTGTGCCTCATCTATTAAATGCGGACAACTGTGCCCACTTCGTAGTGGGGAGTCAAAATCATGTGTGCAAAGAGCCTAGCACAGAGCCTGGTCCCCGGGGGTGCTCAAGAAATACGAATAGCCCCATTATTCTATATTTTGAATTCCACCTGTAGAAACAGATCTGTGGGCAGGACTGGACAGAAAAAAAGGGAGTTGGGACAGAAAAGGAGTTTTAATAGTCTTTCACTCTTGAGAGGTTCCAAAGGTGGGGCCATGTTGAGAATGAAGAGGTAGGCAGCGGTAGAGGTCACAAAACAGCACAAGGTTTCTGCAGCCCGAGCTTCCCTCAGGCTCAATAACCCCATCAGCCTGTAGAGGGTGCCAATGCTCAGCTGAGGGCTTAGTGGTGACTTCGGCCAAGATGGAGCATCAACTTGTGTGTGTGTGTGTGAGAGAGAGAGAGAGACTGTGTGAGTGTATGTGTATGTGGAAGAGTGTGTATGAGTGTGTGAATGTGTGTGTGGGCACGTATGAATGTGAAAGTATGTGTGAGAGTATTGTGTATGTATGAGAGTACTGTGTGTGTGTGTGAGAATGTGTGTGCACATGTGTCTCTGTCTCACCAGATGCAGATATACCTAGAGAACCCTAGCTGCCTCTCCCTTAAAAGCAAACCATCTGGAAAGCAATCAGCCAACTGACCTTGAGGTGACAAAGGCATGGTCTTTAATGGCCTGAACAACATCATCAAACTTGATCTTGGTGGTCCGCGTCCAGCCATGGTAGATGATGGGCTTCCCGTCTGGCCCGTCCCAGCAGTCCACTAAGGGGAGAAATGCGGCATCCTTAACATTGTTCCCATCTGCTGTCCATCTGCACATGCCCGCCAATGGGCAGACATGCTGCTCAGCCGAAGAGCCTGAGATCAACCCCAGCACCCACAACCAGCTCCATTACGAGGACGCAGAGCTCCAGGCCCAAATAATTGCACTGTGGTGGCCACAGACACAAGGACATGCATGTACCTGTGGTCTTGTGGGGAGACTTTTTTTTTTTAATTAAAGGTAACTGTAATGCAATAATACAGTTGTCCAAGGGGACTAGTTTAAATCGTTCTTTTTTAAAAGGTAATTATAATGCCATTTTATTTTCTGACGTTACCCGTTCAAAACTTGGCTTGCTTCTTCTGCTAGTGGAAGTAATACAAAGCTATAAAAAATTTATTTTTAAAGGAATTAAAGGCTCACAGTAAAATATTCAAACAGAAACAGATTATGTAGATGGTGAACATCCCCATATGCTCAACCACCAGAGGTCACAACAGCTGACGATTTCAAAATCTATTTTTTCACATTTGTTTCCTCCTACCCCAAAAAAGAAGAAACAACTAGGAAACAGGTCATACGAATAGCTGCTAGTGAAGTCTGATACCATGATGAGTGTTTTCAACAAAAGTAGAGCCTAAATCAGTGTTTGATGCCTTTTCTGGGCTAAATACACCTATGCCGGGAGGGTAAGAACTAAAGAGGTAAAAGGAAAGGAGAAAGGAACAAGGCCCCCCCATCTGCCGGGGCGCAGATGCAGGCCCCCTGACCATTCTTTTCATAGTTGCTCAAAGACACTGCCCCCAATATAGGTGATATCTGGTACCTGTACATACCCAAGAGCCAGCTGTAATTTCTTTGCCTTTTTCTAAAAACCCAGAAGGTAGCTGAGGGAGGACAGAGGTCAATGAAGCCGTCGTTGTTACCAGTCTCCCAGGTCACTCATCATATCAGGATGCGTTCTAAATGCCCAAAGCCAATGCCCACCAGAACAGGGTTTGCACCAAGCGGACAATACTCCTTGTATTGGCAACACTTTTCTTCTAGGGAAAGGTCCTTGGCTGTTCGTGGCCGCATCCCTCATCACAGATGCTACATGCACCCAGGTTCTCCCTTGAACCGTCCCACCCACCCCCACCCGAAAAATAAAAACAGCTTCGCGTAATCACATGGCTACTCTTGATTCACCGTAACTGTTATCTCCACCCAGGTAGGTCTGGGAAAAAGCTACTCACGCTCAATGCAGCGACAGCCCATTCGCAGACAGCGGACGTATGCCTCCGTGGATGACTCACTCCGCAGCTGGTCACCCGTGAGGTACCTGAAGGAGACCAGGGGAACAGGCGTGTAGGGAGGCAGCACCATGCCTCAGAGCACCCTTGGAGAACTTCTAAGCCTGAGCCCCCAGAGTCCTGAGTTCTTCCTGTCTAGAAAGACAGAAGCCACTATTGCAGAATGTGAGCAGTCACCACCTTGTCACTCCAAGTGTGTGGGTGAGACTGTGTTCTTGCAGGAGAACCAGGTCAAATGGTGTCAGGAGTGAGCTAGATGGCAGATGATAAATTAACAACCACCCACAGCAGGGACTGGGCCTGATATGGGGTGTCAGGGCTCCCAGCCAGGCATAGAAAAGCTGTTCAGCAACTACTGATGGAATATAACAGCCGTGAACTATGTCCACCAAAATTGCCACAAAAATACTTCTTATACTTACAGCGGTTTTGGTGCTCATAGTTCATAGTAACACTTGTTATTTTTATGCGCTCTCTTCTTCATCATGACTCCCTCTCCCCCTTTTTAAGAATTTATATTCCTTAACTGTCCCCTGTGTTTGGTAGAAGTCACCATTCTAAGTCACAAACTCTTAAAGCAATGAGTAGGGGTGGGGAGAGGAGAAAGAACCAAAAATAAGGACTGTGAAATTAATTTGTCCCTGAAAGCCTCTGCCTTCTGAAGTGAATGGAGGATGAACGCAAAGGCCTTCTCTCAGAGCCCCCCGGGAATGGCACTTGGGAAAGTGCCAACCTGGAGCTGCCTGGATGCCTGTGACCCACAGACTTCACCCTCTCACCTTGTTAAGCAGACTAAATGTTAGACCTTGAGTGAAACATCCATTTCTCCCCTCGTATCTCTTTTTTTTTTTGCAATCAAGGTAATCTTCCAGAGAGGTAAATTTGAGCTTGTGGTTCTCTGACTTAAAAGCCATCAGTGATCCCTTCTGCCCTCATGAGAAAGGTCAGGCTGCTGCTTTTGACTTATAAGATCCTGCTTAAGCTGGCCCTGTTGGCCTCCTCTCCTGCCACTCACTCTCTCGGATCCTCCACTCTAGCTTGAACAGACTTCTCTTGGTTCCTCCTGCCCCTGGGCCTTTGCACATGCTATTCTCTGTCCAAAATACTACTCACCTCATCTGCCTGTCCCTCTTACCAACTCCTGGTCATCCTTAAGACCCAGTGGAGGCCTTCTCCTCTCTGAACACGTGAGGAGAAGAACCACTCCTGCCTTGCTCCCTACTCGACTCCCAGCACCCAGCAAAGGGCCTGACATGGGGTAGACACTGAATAAATATTAGTTGAATCAAATTGCTTCGATGTGGCAATGATGAGATGCCCAAAACATGAAAACCAGTTTTGAAAATTTGCCTTTTTTTAAATAATATTTCATTGTGTTTTCCGTGGAGATTTACATAGCAGTTTAGGTTCCCATTCAACAATTTCTACAAAAATTGTTCAATGACATTAGCTACATTCTTCACAATGGGTGAACATTCTCATTATTTCCGTCTGGTTGTTCCATTTCCATTAATCTAGTTCCCTTGCCCCCTTACATTCTCATCTTTGTTTTAAAGTACCTGATGATCATTTGGTCTCATACAGGTGATTTTTTGAAAGAGCATAGTATGTACAGTGATATTATTTTTTGAGCCAGTTTGTTATTTAGCTACAAGGTAACCTCAGAGGTTAGTTTTGGTTCAAGGTTTGAAGAGTATCTCAGGGTAATTGTCTCAGAGAGTCCTCCGGTCTCAATCAGTCCAATAGGTCTGGTTTTTTGTTTTGTTTTTTAGAAATTTGAGGTTCCACATTTTTCTCCCATTCTATCAGGGTCCATCTACTGTGTCCCTGATTAGAATGGTCAGTAGTGGTAGCCAGGCACCATCTACTTCTTCTGGTCTCAGGGTAGATGAGGCTGTGGTTCATGGAGACTATTTTGGTAATTTGCTTTTTATGGCCTTAGAAAAAGGATTATTTGTCAATGCCAACTAGGGAAGGGAGATGCATTTCCACCACCCAGAAGCTGTTTTACGTTCCAACTTGAGAAGCGGGGCCCTGCCAGCTCCACAGCACCCTTTACTTTGGAATGCCACCATATTGCCCTTGTTCTGCCCAACCCATCACAGCCTCCTTGAGAAACTCACGTGTTATGTGACGAGGAGATCCAGTAGTGAGACAAGGGGTTGTTCATGTCCTGCATCTCAACCATGTCATACTTCTCATCCCAAATACTGTTTTCTCGTGAGAACAGGTACGTAAGGAACTAAAAGAGTCACAAACACAAAGACTAAACTAACGTGGATGAGAAGGGTTGTGTTTGGTACTTTCTGATCTGTACCAACAGCGAAACAAGGCAGCTCTGATGAATGAAATCAACAGATGACCCCCAGGTCTCCTTCTCTGAGGTTTTCAGTGCTAAGGGAACAGACTGCAAAAGGCTGTATTAGCCCAGAGATGTGTTTCAATGACCTACACAGTATTTTTCTTTTTAATGTCTGTCCTAAAATACCTGATACTACAAGAATATATGCTTCCAAATGGGCAGCTCCTGTTCAGAAGCAGGATGAAAAGGCAGGAAAGGACAGGAGCTGGTTGGATAGACACGGGAAACTCAGGGTGGAAATGGGGAGTATGCTGTCACATTATAGGGATTGTAACTAGTGTTACCTAACAATACGTATATAAATTTTTGTATGAGGAATTAACTTGAGCTGTAAACTCTGATCTAAAGGACAATTTTAAAAAAAGAACATATATCTGAAAAAAAGAAAAAAGAATATATGCTTCCCCTGTATAACTTTTAGGAATTCCTCGGTGGTGCAAACTAGTTAATGTGCACAGTTGCTAACTCAAAGGTTGGAAGTTCAAGTCCACCCAGAGGTGCTTCAGAAGCCCTGGTGATCTGCTTCCAAAAAATCAGTTCTACTGATTTGAAAACCCTGTGGGGTACAGTTCTACTCTGACACGCGTGAGATTGCCATGAGTCAGAAGTGACTCCACAGCAACTAGCTCTATATAACTTTTAAGGCATAATAATACAATGAACATTTGTGAACCCACCACCCAAGTTAAGACACAGAACTCACCAATAACCTAACATCTAAAAGACAGAAACTTTTATAAATATCCCAATTCCTAGCCCCTTAAAAAAAAAAGAAAAAAAAACAAAGATTGAGTGACACTGGACCTATACTCTGCCCCCTGGAAACAATCTTTAGATGAGGTAGATGCTCCCCAGTTCCCCTCAGCCCCCGTCCCAGGCTGCCTAGTCATGGCCCACATCAACCATTCCAACTGCTAGCAAGCACCTCATAACCTCTGGACAGTGTTCCTCTGTTTATAATGGTTAGACTCTCCCTAGTAGCAGACTCCCTCTAGTAGGGAAAACGATGAGCCCACGCTAGCAACACTGGCAAGAGAAAAAGATGAGAAAAGGCTAGAGTAATCCAGAAACTGAGGGAAAAAATAGCTCCTAACAGAATCATTTGAAGCAAAGCCCTTCAATGAAACAGAACCAAAAAATCAACCTCAGAGGACAGAGAAATGAACCCAAAGGTGAAAACATCATGACAGCAAATCCAGCTCACTCACCTCATCAACAAACAAGAAGGGCTCAGCCGTTTCCCTCATCGTGTCGTCAATAAACTTTGTCATCCGCTCACGTACTTTGTTTAGATCCTGAGCCCAAGACTCCTTAAAATACAAAGAGAAACAAGAAATCACCACAAAGAGGACAGACAACATTCTTCATCCCTCGGGGACCAGTTTAAATCACAGACCAAAAAGTCACCAGAATTCTGAATTCATATTCAATCAAGTGCCACATATTGTGGTCTTACTCTGTGCATGGCCTCTGCCAGGAGTCAACAAATGTTTTCTGTAAAGGACCAGGTAGTACATACATTAGACTTTGTAGGCCATACGGTCTCTGTGGCAACCACTTAACTCTGCTGTTGTTGTATGAAAGCAGCCACAGAAGATATGTACACAGATGGGTGTAGCTACATTCCAATAAAACTTTATTTACAAAAACAAGTGGTGGGCCACACTGTACCAACTTCCAACCTATGCTAGCATGAATTGTCCATGGAACACAGTGGTCATATCAGACTGTGGGGACTGGTCACCTGGGTCACCTCAAGCAAGTTACTTAACTTCTCTGTGTCTCATCCACTAAATAGGAATAATAATAGCACCATATTTTTCTGCAAATAATACACCCACATAAATAGAGTGCCCACACATACAATGCATGGAAATGATGAAATTAAGTGAAACAGTTCTGGCATAGTGCGCCCATACATGTACCGAGCATGTCTCGTGACATTTCCAGAAGTGAATTTCAGTCTCATTCACCCATTTTCCCATGTTACAGGTAAATCATATCATTTTGTTCATTTTTTTCCTTCTATTCGTTTTCTTTAATCTCCTGCTTATTTGTATGAAAACAGTCCGAAAATGTTACTTTTGATCATAATTGTATAATAAAGGTATAAGCCATGGTCAAGAAGTCATGGATCGAGTTTGGTAGTCTCCCCGTAGTCAGAAAATAAATAATCGAAACTGTACACTTGTTTCTACTGATTTAAATTTAAATTAATAATTATTAGCTCAACAGTTGAATGTGAGAAGGGGAGTGTTGACATGTCATGGGGTTGGTAACCAATGTCACAAAACAATACATGTACTAATTGTTTAACGAGAAGCTACTTTGTTCTGTAAACCTTCATCTAAACTACAGTTAAAAAAAAAAAGAAAAGAATGTGCGGGGCAGGGTTGCACAGTTGGCAAGAAAACATATAATGTACACATTATTTGCAGAAAAACACGTATCTACCACACAGGGCTTCTGCGAGGGACTATATGAAATAAGGCTGTGTGCTTAACACAGCACCTGGTACACAAAAAGTGATAAGTAACGGTAGCTTGTACATCATCATCTCTATGATCATCCCATTGGGTTCATACAACTCTGCAGGTCATATATCATCATCATCATTTTAGAGATGAAGAAACAGAGGCTCAGGAAAGTTCATATGGCCAGTTCAAAGTCACACAGCTAGTAAGTAGCAGAGTCCAGGTTCCAAATAATTGAACTTTGGAAAACTGACATAAAATCTGCTCCTACATCTTCTTTTCAAAGGATCAGCCAAGCAATGGTACTCAGACATGATAACGTCTGAAACATACATGACAAGTTCACAAACAGCTTCCACACAGTCTTAGAACTTTGGAAGCCCTTTAGAAAAAGAATGCATAATAAAAATTAATCTTGGGGGGAGTTGTTTAGTGGGCATTGAGTGTACGTTAATGGTGGTGGAATAATTTGCTAAAGGATGGCGACAAAGGTTTGCACAACATGAAGAGTGTAATCAATGTCACTGAACTGTACATGTGGAAACTTGAATTGGTGAAGGTTTTGTTGTATGTATTTTCACTGAAATAAAGTAACCTTATACTAACTTTCTGTTCCTGGTAGTGTAATAATTTGGAAACAGTGGTGATGGCTGCACATTATAAATGTAATTAATGTCACTGAATTGTACATATAAAAAATGTTGAACTGGCACATGTTATGTGATATATGTTTTTAGCACAATAAAAAATAATGTAAATAAGAGCAAGAGAGAAGGAAAGAACTCAACAATCCAAAAAAAAGAAAGAAAAGTAGCCCTATTGTTTTCCTCTTCAAGCCCTGGAACCCCAAATATTCCTAGGAAAGAGGACACATAGATTCAACTTTGACTAATGCTTTCTGGGTTTTGAATATTCTAAAATATCTTTATGAATAATAAAAGCAAATGGGCTAGCAGACGCATGGAGTTGGATGGGAGGGGTCAACCAGGATATTTACAGTAAGTATTAAGGGCAGATAGAAAGAGGCGGTGAAGAGACAGCCTCCCTGGCCCATGGGTGCCAACATACACCGAGCCTCACTGTTGATTCTTGCAAATCCACCTGGTTCAGGGACAGGAAGCACTGGCTGGGCTCGGAAGAATGAGCTCATTTGAATGCAGACATGTTGGAATCTTCGCATACCAGACCATGAAACCAAAACGTAGCATGCTTCAGGAAAGCACTGGGCCTGGCTCCAGAGGCCCCAGAGCTCCCACCCTCCTTCCCCAGCAAAGATTTTGCATTGTTAAAAGGCAGGGGTAGTTAGCTCATAAAAAGTAGAACTGTACTGACTGCGAATACAGAACTCTTCTGCCTAAATGACTTTTTAAAGTACCAATATTCTGGAGGTTGAAAAAATAAAAGGATCTACTTAACCAATATTCTAGAAGTTAAAAAAAATAAAATAAAACAACCCACATTTACTTGGTGTAGGGCGTGGTGCTAGGAACTTACGATCATGAAAACGATGGCGAGACTCATGATGCAAACAACAAATGGTGATGGCCGTCAACACTGGGCACACACTGTATGCCAGGTCCTACACTCTACACTCGTCATGTAGAGTCGCACTGTGAGCTCGCCACGACCCCATGAGGTACAGGTTATTAGCTCCCCTCCAGACCCCCGCACCCACGGGCCATGCTATCCTCTCACCTGCTGTTCATGTAAGAGAAACCTCTGGAAGTCGTGCAGGTGAATAGCGGAGGCGTCTGGCCGGTCAGTGCTCCTGCCCTCGAGAGAAGGGGAGGGTGTTTAGAGAGACACATTCAAAGGGGGAGTCAAGAGGCAATTCTGTCCAACCAGGCAGCCTACACCTACCCAGCCCTCTGCTGTGCCAGGACCTCAGCCAGTGGAGACAGAGGTGAATGAGACAACATCCCCAGACACAGAGAGATGAATGAAACAGCGCCCCGACTTGGAAGGATCCCAAGAAAGGCAGTGACACCAGTGTCTCAGGGAGCGGGGCCCTGGAATCTGCATTTTAGCAAGCTGCCCAGGTGGCTCTGATAAAGTCCTACAGTCAATAAGACCGCGAAACTCAGAAGGCTTTCTGACTCTCCCCCTTGAGGAATTCTGAAGCACAGTAAAGGCCCTGACAAGTCCCGTCGTGCTTACTCTTTAATAACATTACTACTACTTACGAGCCCTTACCATGTGTCAAGCACCATGTGAAGCATTTCATATGCTTCAACTCATTGTAATTCAGTTAAACCTGCTTAATCAGGAATTTCCCAAACTTATTTGACCATTAAAATGATTTCTATTTTTGTAAAAAACCTATTAAGCTGTCACATCCCATGGAGCAGAGTTTGGGAAAGGAGGCCCTGGGGTACTCATGCTTCCAGGTCAATTCTCCCCATACTCCACAAACCCCGTTGCTGTGGGCCATCTTTATCCATGCCACAGGCTCACGATAGCCGATCCCCCGATGGTGGGATGCTGTCCCCATGGAGATCAGCAATTGCACATGTGGTGCCCCCTCCTGGAGGCAGGGCTGGGAGGACAGGCAAGGGCACCAATGTCAAGCCCAGCTGCCCTGAAACAGTAACATGAAAGGCTGCCTCACCCCAGGATGAAGACAGAAGAATCCTTCTTGAACTCGTCAAGAATCTGAAATAGAAAACAGAGGAAGGAAAACACACACACAAAAAGAACGTCAGACAAGTCAGGCCACTTCACACACACAAATAAGCACACCTTTTTTGTTTTGTTTTGTTAAATTAAAATTGTAATTTATGTTAGCTGCGAATATTCCAATATAAGAGAAACCTATGAAGCAAAGGCAGACCTCTTTCTCACCCCTTCCATAGTCTCGTTTCTGAGAAGCAATCACATAAAAATTTGGTAGGTATCCTTGAAGAATCTGTTTTATAGATGCATGTCATATCGTTTCATATCATATAAGATGCAAGTTTTTGTTGTGTTGTTTCAAGCTTTACCTATTATTCTGCAACCTCCAATAACCCTACCTCACTATTTTGAAAAACCACATCATATTCCCTAAGATGTATGCATTTGATTTTCTGTTACGATATCCAGTATTACAATGAATGAATGCCCTTGTGTATCTTTGCCCACTCGTGCCAGTATCCCTGAAGAGCAGGTTCCTAGAAGGGAAGCACCTGGACATGGATCTGCACGTTGTTACCACTGACAAAAACTGCCTGTTGTTGTTGTTAGTTGCCGTGGAGTCAATGAATCAATTCTGACTCAAGGGGACCCCATGTGTTACAGGGTAAAACTGTGTGCCATAGGGTTTTTTTTGGCTATTATCCTAACAGAAGATCACCAGGCCTTTCTTCCATGGAACCACTAGGTGCATTCAAACTGCCAACCTTTAGGTTAGCAGTTAGGCGCAAACCGTTTACACCAGCCAGGGACCACATACCGCCTAGTTGCTCTCAAAACAGTTGATTGGCACCCCACCAGGGTATGCACTCTTTCCTACACCCTTGCTGCCAGATTTTACCTCTTTAGTATTTCAAAGAGCTAACTTCTAGTTTTGGAATTCAAGAGGAAGAAATAATGAACAGCTTCAGTTCTAATCCCTTCATGGCCTCCTGACATGCTGATTGATACAACAAAAGCACTCCTAGATAATCATACTGCTGTACATCTATACAGTGGATTATTATTCCACGATAAAAAAACTTTTTTCTGAAGCTCTTAAGCCACAAAAAGACATGACAGAACCTTAAATGCATGCTGCTAAACAAAAGAAACCAATCTGAAAAGGCTACATATTATACTCTTCCAGCTCTATGACATTCTGGAAAAGGCAAAACTATGGAGACAGTAAAAAGATGAGTGGTTACCTAGGGTTCAGGGGGAGGGAGGAAGGAAGGAATGACTAGGTGGAACATGGCATTTTTAGGTTACTGACACTATTCTGTATGATACTATAATGATGGACACACAACATTATGCATTTGTTCAAACCCATGAGACTATACAACACAAAAGGTGAACCCTAATGTAAACTATAAAACCCATAGCCATCAAGTCGATTCCAACTCACAGTGACCCTATAGAACAGAGTAGAACTGCCCCATAGGGTTTCCAAGGTTGTAAATCTTTACAGAAGCAGACTGCCACATCTTTCTCTCATGGAGCAGCTGGTGGGTTTGAACCGCTGACCTTTCGGTCAGTAGCCAGGGGCTTTAACCACTGTGCCACCAGGGCTCCTATACGTAAACTATAAACCAAAAACCCAAACCCACTGACCTTGAGTCAATTCCAACTCACAGCAACTCTATAGGACAGAGTAGAGCTGCCCGTTAGGGTTTCCAAGGAGCAGCTGGTGGATTCAAGCTGCCGACCTTTCAGTTAGCAGCCACACTCTTTAACCACCGCGCCACCAGGGATCCTTATGTAAACTTTAAAAAAAATCCATTGCCGTCGAGTTGATTCCGACTCATAGCAACCCTATAGGACAGCAGAAAACTGCCCCATAGGGTTTTCCAAGGAGCACCTGGTGGAGTCAAACTGCTGACTTTTTGGAAAGCAGCCGAACTCTTAACCACTACACCACCAGGGTTTCCATGTAAACTATAGACTTCAGTTAATAACAGTGAATCAGCGTTGGTTTATCAATGCTAACAAATGTACCACACTAATAATGCAAGATGTTAATAGTAGCAGAAACTGTGTGCAGGTGGGGACAGGAGGTATATGAGAATTCTCTGTACTTTCTGTGCAATTTTTCTGTAAAGCTACAACTGCTCGAAAAAATAAAGTCCATTTTTAAAAAAAAAGAAGCAGCGCTCCTACACCAAGGAGAGCAAAGGTGGGCCCCTACTCCTAGCTAATACATCAGCTCATTTGCTCAGCATTTCCCACATGCGCGCACATGCACACACACACACACACACACACGCACACATCCCCACACACACACCCTGTCCATTTCTGGCTAGGTAGCATTACTTTAAGTAGCCCTGGTGGTGCAACGGTGAAGTGCTTGGCTGCTAACCAAAAGGTCAGTGGTTTGAACCCACCAGCTACTCCTCAGGAGAAAAGACCTGGCAATCTGCTCCCATAAAGATTATACCCTAGGAAACCCTATGGGACAGTTCTGCTCTGTCCTATAGGATCGCTATGAGTCGGAATTGAGTTGATGGCACACAACAACAGGATTACTTTGATAGGCTTTAGTAAGATTGTCATTGGACAGGCATTTGAATAAATAAGGGCAGAAACGAAAATGTAGCCACTGGCATGTTATAAATGCTAATGACACAAAAACAACTACTTCTCTGGACGACTAGGATTCTATTGCCAAACAACTTAGAGTCCGGGATGACATGTGGAAAACCTATGTTCTAGAAAGGCCCTAGAAAGCATCAGGAGATCTGCATATGTTTGTGTATGCTTGTATATGTTCTGTTTTGTTTTTCTAGAAAGATGATCCATAGCTTTAACCAGCATCTGAAAGAAGCAGGTCACCCAAAAAGGTGAACAGCTAGTCTTTTAGAAATACTAATACTTCCTTTCATTTATGTATAATTTACAGCTTAGCTGTTTCTTATTTAAAAAAAAAAAAAAAAACTGTAGGCAGTACTGTTATGTAGACTCACTTGGAGCTTAGCTCACTAGGTAAATCTGGTGCTTAAGGCATGTGAGGAGGAATGCCTTCCTAACCCAAAGCCCCAACAGTGGCTTAGTTATGTCTCAAGAAAGCCCAATGTATGACCCACCCTCAATCATCCACCACACACAGCTCTTGATGCTAGTCCCTTCCTTTAAAGTGACCTAAGCAAAGGAGAGGAAAGCTCCACCACTTCTCAGCCACTCGGGAGCTAGGACGATGGAGGGGGTGCCACCTGGCAGAGATATCCCCCGTGGCCAGAGAAGAGGGTGAGAACCAGCCTGCTTCTCCCCTCCTGGGCCCTGCAATCTCCCCCAGGGTGCCCACATGCTGAACTGACTAGAATACAGTTGGCACAGGAGCCGGGGCATTGTGCTTGCAGGAATCCACCCCAGTGACACAGAGCAGGGCAGGCATGGACTGAAAGCCAGCAGACTAATACTCAGCCCAGCACTCGCCACTCGGGGAGTCCAGTGGTGTTCAGACCCAGTTCCCCCAGTGTTCAAGCCAAGCCGCCTGGGAGGGACTCTATCAGAAAACTGGAAAAACGCACTGTGGTTTCATCCTTGCCTGGTTCCTGAGTCAAAGCGACCAGGAAACCAAGAAACCTGTCGCCACAGTGCACAAGGCACTCAGTAGGTATGCAATGAAAATCGGCTAAATGAAGGAATAAGAAAGTACATTTTTGTCTGGGCCCTAGATTCACGGCTCAGGGGGTTGGGCAAGAGAGGCTCCCCAAGACAAGGTGCCTTGCCAGGGCGTCTCTGCCAAAGGTCGTTTCCACACTCGGCCTGTTGGTTCTCCACGGAGCCTGCTTTTGTTCACTCTGACCCCACTGGACTGTGGATTCCCAAGCATCAGAGGCAGTATGTCAATGGCTCCACAAATGGCCCAGGTATGAGTGGTACACCAGACGCTTCCCAAAGTATGAGACATACTCATCCCACCATATACCTGGGTAGGGTAGGAGGCATAGAGGTCTACAGTAAAATATGCTTGGGAACCACTGAAAGCTGTGTCTTGCCTCTTGGAGATTCACAGTGTATCTGAAGACTAAAGTCTCTGAGAGGTCCTGCAATAAAGAAAGCTGCTTTATTTAACCCAGGGTTTCCCCAAACACATTCAACCATGATGTTTCCTGGAGCTCATGTTGGGAATCATTACATCCCAATGCCACTTCATACCAGAGATTCAAACAGCCAAAATGTTCTCTAGCACATTCCTGTAGTTTCTTAGACAAGAAATCAGTGCCTGCAGCTGCATTTCCTGGTGTCTGTGATGCTGAATGCCACAAGGCTGGCCTGTTCATAGTAAGAATAGTGATTTTATCCTGAACACTTTCTGCACATTATCTGATTTAGTCTTCCTCACAGCCCTTCAAGGGAAACACCACTGTCCTCATTTTACCGAAGTGGAAACCAAAGTTCAGAGAGGTTAAGTAACAAGCCCAAAGTCACACAGCTGGTAGACAGTGAAACTGGGATTCAAACCAAAGGCTTTCTGACCCCGAATCCATGCTCCTTCCTCAACTCCAGGCTATTACTGGGCATTCAGATTATTTTTTAGCCTCCTCTCAATGATTCATATACGAGTATATGGAGTTCAATCTCTGAATTATCTGTTAAAAACATGACTTCCTCCTTCCTATTTTAAACCTGACCGTAGCACCCAAGAGTAGGGCAAACCCCAAACATAAATTATGTTAAGCAGAGAAATATGGAGAGGTGACACTCCTGGAACAACTATTCTATACGAATCTATAGAGCAGGTCCAAGATAAACGATAAAACTAAGTATTTGAAGCTGAATCTATAAATAAAAATACATTCCTCAACTTCTTCCATTTCAATATACTTACACTCCTACAAAAGAATGATGCCATTTGGCCTGGGCTTACTAGCTGCGTGGCCACCAGCAAGCAACCTCACTGAGCCTGTTTCTTCATCTGTAAGATGGGGATAATAACAGAACTTCTCTCATAATGTTACAGGGAAAAGGAAATCCATGTAAAACACTCAGCACAG